GTGCCTCGAGGTCTCACTGAGCCCTCACAGTAGCCCCTAGATGGAGTCCACACGGCAGCAGGTGTGTGTGGACTGAGCCAGGCTTGAGTTTCCAGCTTGAAACTCTGCCATAAGGTCCCCGGAGTCTCCACTTCTCCCCTCTTCTCAAGCCTGCCTCTGTAGCTCAGGTGGAAGCGCACCTCCAGGCGCGGTGTCTTTAAGTGCAGTCTGGGAATGGAAGTGTGTGGAGAGGCAAGAGCCAATATGTGCTTCCATGGGCTTCACAGAGTATGATACACAGTACTCTCTAAGCTTCCCTGGGGCTAAGAAATGCCTGGAGTGCTTATTAAAAACAGGATTCCTGGGCCTCCATACAGACCTACTGAGTCTGATTTTTCTAAGAAGAGGCCTTCTCAGGTGATTCTTTTTTTTTTTTCTTGAGACAGAGTCCTGCTCTGTCGCCCAGGCTGGAGTGCAGTGGTGGGATCTCAGCTCACTGCAACTTCTGCCTCCCAGGTTCAAGAGATTCTCTTGCCTCATCCCCCTGAGGAGCTAGGATTACAGAATTTTTTAGTAGAGAACGCGGTTTCTCCATGTTGGCCAGGCTGGTCTTGAACCCTGACCTCAAGTGATCCTCCTGCCTTGGCCTCCCAAAGTGCTGAGATTACAGGCATGAGCCACCACATCCGGCCACCCAGGTGATTCCTATCAGAACAGTTTGGGGACCGCTAGGCTAAATCAATTATCAGACAAGTTTGGGGAACAATCTACAAAATAATAATGTGTGTCAAATGTTTCCTGGGCTTGGTCAGAAGCACTCCAAGTATTACCTTATTTAATTCTCACAACGACCGCCTAAGAAAAGTACTTTTATCTCTCCTTACGGAGGAGGAAACTGAGGCACAGACAATGTCACCGCAAGCAATCTATGTTGAAAGAACATATCCATTTAATTAGAATCTCTGGGGAAGGGCCCTTGGCAGTGATATTTTAAACAAGTTTATTCTGTAGAGAAAGTGGGTTTGGGAAACACGGGGCTAAACGGTTGGTCACTGGAGGCCAGGGGCCGGGAGCCAGTAACAGATTCTGGGCAGCAAAGACAGTTCATTCTCTTTCACTTTGGTGGTCAAGCAACCCATTCCCTCCCTTCCCCTGCACAGTCACCAGAGCACCGCCCCCACCTGAGCCCAAGGCTGAAGTAGAGCCCCCGCCACAACCAGAGCCCACACCAGTCGAGGAGGAAATAAAGCCACCGCCGCCACCGCCGCCACCGCCGCCTCGCCCTGCTACTCCTCCTCCTCAGATTGTGGCCCGGGAGCTGACTGTGGGCATCAATGGGTGAGTCTCCTGCAGCCCCCAATCAGTCTGAAGCCTTAGAGCCCAGCCCCTCCTCTGGCTGCTAACTGGGGCACCTCCACATTTCCCCCCATCAATGCTTTCATTCCAACAACCCTGGAGAAATAGCCCAGAGTAAGTCAGATGGGGCACCACCCTCAGCCCACATTCTGGCAGGGAAGACAGTAATCAAAGAAATGAGATTGTGCAGTGGTGTGTGTTTTGAACAGTGTAGAAGCCAGTGGAAAGGTAAGGCTGGAGATGGCAGTCTTTGCCAGTGGTCAGGGAAGGCCTCAGGGAGAAGGTGACATTGGAATAGGGCCAGAATGAAGAGAGGCAGCCAGGTCCCAGGGCACCTTGCTGGGGAAGGAGTCTTCCAAGCAGCGAGACAAACAGTGACTCTGGGGCGAGGCGAGCTCAGTGTGTTCAGGGACAGCCAGGATGAGTGGCTGGTGTCCACCAAGCAAAGGGGAAAAGGAGGAAGGCTGGTGGGAAACCCAGGAGATGCTGCTAGACCACATTAAGGAGTGTGGATCTTGTTTTACTGATGGACAGTTGTGGACATTTTCACGCCAAGAGACATAATCTGTCTTGAAGTTTTAAAAGATACATCCAGGCTCACACCTGTAAACCCAGCACTTTGGGAGGCTGAGGCAGGAAAATCCTTTGAGACCAGGAATTTGAGACCAGCGTGGGTAACATAGCGAGACCCTGTCTCTACAAAAAAAAAAAAAAAGAAAATAGAAAAAAAAATTATTTTTTTAATGAAAAAAACTCAGCTACAAGGTTAAAAATAGGGGTTAGGAATCAGGCGCAGCAGTGGCTCACGCCTGTAATCCCAACACTTTGGGAGGCTGATGCAGGTTTATCAACTTGGGGTCAGGAATTTGAGACCAGCCTGGCCAACATGGCGAAACCCCATCTCTATTAAAAATACAACAATTATTGAGGTGTGGTTGTATGCACCTGTAGTCCCAGCTACTTGAGAGGCTGAGGTAGGGGAATCACTTGAACCCAGGAGGAAGAGGTCGCAATGAGCTGAGATAGCGGCCTGAGCAAAAGAGCTAGATTCTGTCTCAAAAAAAAAAAAAAAAGGAATGGGGTTAGGGAATGGGTCAGGAGAGAGAGCTGCAAAAGCAGCGAAGGGGCTGGTGAGGTCATCTTGGCAAGAGATGACTGTGGCCTGCACAGAGGTGGTTGCTTTCTTCCCCTGGATTCAGGTTTCCCACTAGTCTCCTTGAGGGAGCCTCCTCTCCATTACCCCTTCTCTCCCACCCCTTCCTCTGTCTATCCCTGGCCAGATTTGGACGCATTGGTCGCCTGGTGCTGCGCGCCTGCATGGAGAAGGGTGTTAAGGTTGTGGCTGTGAACGATCCATTCATTGACCCAGAATACATGGTCAGTAGCAGGCAGAGGGCAGGAACAGCAGGGTGGGACTGGGGTGGGAAGGAAGCTGTATGGAGGGCTCTCAGCTGCAATGTGAGACCTTCACCAAATGGGGGATTCTCTAGGGATGCTTGCCCTGCCACCCCAAGACTAGGAGCTGTTTCCTACCCAACAGGTGTACATGTTTAAGTATGACTCCACCCATGGCCGATACAAGGGGAGTGTGGAATTCAGGAATGGACAGCTGGTCGTGGACAACCATGAGATCTCTGTCTACCAGTGGTAAGGAGAGCATCTGTCTGATGCACAGCCCTGACATACTGAGGCAGGGGATGTGGAGGTGGCTAAAATGCGATTCCAGCCTCTCACCTGGGGTTCTGAAACCACCCCCAAAATTGCATGTGCATGCCTCTAGGTACTGAGTAGAAGAGGGGAGTCTCAGGTCCTTCACCCCCAAAATGGTTAAGAAGCACTAATCTGAAAAGATGCCTCACTGTACTCAAGAACGCTTTTTCTTTTTATTTATTTATTTATTTCACAGGTGGGGTATCACTGTCTTGCCCAGGCTGAAGTGCAGTGGTGTGATCATAGCTCACTGCAGCCTTGACCTCCTGGGCTCAAGCGATCCTCCCACCTCAGCCTCCCAAGTAGTTGGCACAAGCTACCAGACCTGGCTAATTTTTTGTAGAGGCCATTTTGCCCAGGCTGATCTCAAACTCGTGGCCCTAGGCAATCCTCCCACCTTGGCCTCCCAGAGTGTTGGAATTATAGGCATGAGCCATCACACCCTGCCTAGAATGCTTTTGCTTTAACGATCATTTGCACGTTTTCTCGTAGGCATGTCAACATGTCCAGAACTCAACTCTTGCTTTCGCTTCAACTCCACACTTATTCAGCACCCACTGGCCACTGCTGGTCAACTGTAGCTGAATTCCTCCAAAGGGAGGAAGGTATAAAGAGGCTTGTGCGAGCACCCGTTCCCATCACAGCCTGAACAAGTGTTTCGAGTTTATTTAGAATGCCCTGGGCCAAGAAAAGGGCTGCATTCCGTTCGCTGTGGGGGGCTTAGAATTTTATTTTTGTCTGACATTCACCTTTCTAATGTAAACTGTTAGCCACTCCTGGCTCTGTGGCTGCCTGGGGCTTTTACACATGCCCGCCCGCAGGTGCCCACACATACCCACACATGCACATACATGGAGGCACACTAGAGAACCCTGTCCAGGTCCAAGCAGGGGTCCCCAGCACCCCTCCCCACAGATCTAATGTGGGCCCTTCTCTGTACTTACTGGGGGTAGGGTGAGTGATAAAGGGGCAGGGATGGGTGCAGGAAGTTTATGGGTGGGAGCGCAGAGACTGGAGAGTCAGTGAAAATGGAAGAAAGCTGCTTAACCCAAGTTTGAAATTGTGACACCAGAAACAACTCCAGCACTGTAGTCATCACGCAGACTTCAACGTGGCCACCCCCATTCCTGCCACTTGGAGCTATCCCCCTTCCCCACCTAGCTGCCCCCTCCGTCCTCACCCCCACTCAGGTGCTGCTTTCTCTGGTCACTTGTGCAATGGGGTCACCCTCCCCAGTCCTCTCGCCATCCCTGCACTGTTGGGCTGCACAAGCCAGGCGGTGTGCCTGTACTCCACCCCACTCTGCCCACGATGTTGCTGCTAGCTGGGTGACCTTGGGCAAGGGACCAAACTTGCCTGAGCCTCAGCTCCACCCTGTAGCTGATGGGGATGATGAGCAAACCCACCACAGCGGTAGCTGCAGGCACAAATGGAGTGAACACGTGTTTGTGGACACTTAAAGGGGCACTTCCCACAAGGCCATGGCCTTGCAAGGAGGGCTCTGTCAACTGTTACCACCCTTTGCTCTGGCATTAGCAGGTACAGGCCCTGGTAGACATTCAGAACTTCCCTTGAATGAATGAATGGAATCCTCAAAACAGCCCAGTGGTCAGGAGGCTGGGGCCCTGACAGCCTGGGGGAGGGCCTGGGGTCTTCTGGGACACACTGTTTGCCTCAGGCCAACTCAGCAATTGCTGCAGAGGAATTTGTAGTGTCCCTAATTTGGAAGGCAGGAAATAGGAGGTATCTGAGAAGAGCTAGTTGGGCTAGATGATGGAAAGCCTACTGACAGGAAGAGGATAAGCATGTGCTATGGCCTTTCGGGGCAGCCCATTCATTCATTCAGGCAGTGGAGCTAAGAGTGCAGACCCAAGGTGAGGCCACCCTGCCTGCACTCCAGCAGGCCCTGCCTCACTCCCTCCCCTCTGCCCTGGCAGGGGTAGCACTTCCTTCTTGGGCTGTGAAGGTTATATAAGTTTAATACATGTAAGGCACTTAGAATATGGGCACAGGGCCAATGTTCAGTAAACATGTATAAAATGGCTAACTAAAAACACATGAGGTCAGGTGCAGTGGCTCATGCCTGTAATCCCAGCACTTTGGGAGGCTGAGGTGGGAGGAAGTCAGGAGTTTGAGACCAGCCTGGCCAACATGGTGAAACCCCGTCTCCATTAAAAATGCCAAAAAAAAAAAAAAAAAAAGCTAGCCAGGTGTAGTGGCTCACACCTATAGTCCCAGCTACTCAGGAGGCTGAGGCAGGAGAATCGCTTGAACCCGGGAGGCGGAGGTTGCAGTGAGTCAAAATCGTACCACTGCACTCCAGCCTGGGTGACCGAGTGCTACTCTGCCTGAAAAAACAAAACAAACAAAAAAAGATGAAGCCAGGCACAGTGGCTCACACCTATAATCCCAACACTTGTGGGAAGCCAAGCATCACTTGAGCCCAGGAGTTCTACAGCACCCTGGGCAACAAAAGTGAGAACCCATCTTTACAAAAAAACTAAAAATTAGCTGGGCATGGTGGTGTGAGCCTGTAGTCCCAGCTACTTGGGAGGCCAAGGCAGGAGGGTGGCTTGAGCCAGGAAGATCAAGGCTGCAGTGAGCTGTGTGATAGTACCACCACTCCAGCCTGGGCGACAGGAAGACCCTGTCTCAAAACAAACCAACCACAAACACTGATTGAACCCCCCATTGAGGGAAGCAGGATCAATGGCAATGGAAACAGACCAACACTGGCCGAGAATCACAGAAGCAAACCCGGGAAGGAAGAGAGTGGAATAGTTTATTCGCTTAATGCTTGTTGCTAAAGCCAAGTAGAAAACAGCAATACTAGATGTTCAGTATGTTTCAAATACAAACGTGTCAAAAATGCCAAGTAAAAACGTGAATTTAGAAAACAGGAAACCCCAAACCTCCCTTACTTTTCTAATGTAAACCAGGAGCCACTGCTGGCCCAAGGCTGCCTCCGGCTTCAGGCTTCCTCCAGGAGCTTTTTCTTTAATGCACTGTCTGTTTTCAGAGACTCTCCTGGTCTTTGGCAGCCGGCTTCCTACTGCAGAAGCTGAGAGTCCAGGAGGGTTCATGACGAGGTTGTCAGCGCTGGGGGCCAGAAAGCAGCTGGGCAGGCCTCATGGTCACAGAGTCCATGTCCCAGGCAGTGTATGAAGAAAGGGTCTGAGCTGGCTGGCACTAGTTAGGGTTGGTGCCTCTGTTCCAAGGAAGTTGAGGGCTGAGCTGGGGAGGTCACTGCCAGTACCCAGGCATGGCAGGGGTGGTGCAGTCAACAAAGGGAAAGTGGTCCGAAGCAGGGCAGTGGTGAAAAGCAAGGCCAGCAGGGTGCGGCCCATCTGGGGCAGGTAGGTGTGTGGGATGGGGGATGCAGGTGGTTGAAGGCGGGCCGGCACCTGCAGGAAGGCACATGCTCAGCCGTTCAAATGATGAAGGCCGTGGACTCTGAAGCGGGGGCCCACACAGGGGAAACTGACTCAGCCCTCCACTACCCCGCAGCAAGGAGCCCAAACAGATCCCCTGGAGGGCTGTTGGGAGCCCCTACGTGGTGGAGTCCACAGGCATGTACCTCTCCATAGAGGCAGCTTCGGTAAGTGGGGGAGGCGTGCCCAGGGCCGGCTAGGGGGACGATGGCGCCAGAAGCACCTGACACCTGCGCCTCCTCCCAGGACCACATCTCGGCAGGTGCTCAACGCGTGATCATCTCTGCACCCTCGCCAGATGCACCAACGTTCGTCATGGGTGTGAACGAAAATGACTATAACCCTGGCTCCATGAACATTGTCAGGTAAGGGGGGCAGCAACATCCTGCAGTGTGTGGGTGGTGCCCAAGGACACACCAGGCTGTGGAAGAGAGGGTACACTCGTCCTCCCCACCCTCAGCCCCACTGGATTCCTAGTCAGTTGGCTTCTGTTTCTCCTTCCTGAAACTATCTGCTAAAAATGTGACTTCTGGAGGACAAGCTTGGGGAGCCTCCCCAGCCTCCTTCAGTCTGACAGCATCCCCACCAATCCCTCTCACCCTCATCCTAACGTTTCACAAGACGGGTAAGGGTGGAGGGCGGCTCTGCATCTTACCTCAAAGTGCCCATGCACACCTTGGCTGTTTCAGCAACGCATCCTGCACCACCAACTGCCTGGCCCCCCTCGCCAAGGTCATCCATGAGCAATTTGAGATTGTGGAAGGGTTGATGGTGAGTTGAGGGGCTGGGGCAGGAAGGATGGCAGGGAAACCCAACCTCTTCTTCCAGGGCCTTGCTTAGTGTATGGAGTTAAGAGGGAGAGGCTGGTTTTGGGAGGAGAGGCCCAGTGCAGAAATCAACCCTCAGGCAAGGCTGGACCCTGGCCTACACACACCCCTCCCATGGTCTGTGGTGGTCGTGGCCCCACCAGCCTCCACACCTAGGCCACCACCCTAGTCCTGGAAAAAAGAGGCATGGGAGCTTAGGAGCATGAAGGCCTCATCATGGTCCTCTTCTTCCCCAAGACCACAGTCCATTCCTACACAGCCACCCAGAAGACGGTGGACGGGCCATCAAGGAAGGCCTGGCGAGATGGGCGGGGTGCCCACCAGAACATCATCCCAGCCTCCACTGGGGCTGCCAAAGCCGTGACCAAAGTAATCCCAGCACTCAAAGGGTATGAGGACCAGAAGCTGCAACCAGGGTGGGGCACACCCCGGGAGAACTGGACTGGCTCTCAGTCCTTAAGGGGAAATGGAGGGTGCTGTCCCTAAGTTCTGACTCCTGCCCCTCATGGGGGATTCTCCAGGAAGCTGACCGGGATGGCGTTCCGGGTACCAACCCCGGATGTGTCTGTCGTTGACCTGACCTGCCGCCTCGCCCAGCCAGCCCCCTACTCAGCCATCAAGGAGGCTGTAAAAGCAGCAGCCAAGGGGCCCATGGCTGGCATACTTGGCTACACCGAGGATGAGGTAGGTGCTGAGTGGGGGAGACCCTGGGAAGAACCCTCTGGGCAGGGGACATGATTTCCACTTGCCAGGGAGCTGCTCTCAATGTGTCAACACAGAAACTGCAAGGCGGAAAGGGAGACCTCCCTGCCTCAGGGCCTTTGCACTTAGCATTCCTTCCGTATGGAATGTTTGCCCCCCAAGGGGTCACACAGTCTGTCCTCACTTCCTCCAAGTCTCTACTTCAATCTCCCTCTTCAGCAAAGCACCCCTCAAAAGATGTTCTTTTTGTGGGCCTATTCCTCACCAGAAATTTCATTTTATACTCACTGTTGGCCCCAGTGGCGTGTGCAATCCAAGAAAACAGGGATTTAGGGGCTGTGTTTTCACTTTTGTGACTCCAACATGGGATACAGCAGGTGACTAATATATGCTTAGTGAACAGAAGGTAACAGCTGCCATTTTTTTCAATACTCCCATGAAGCCAGGCCATGACCAGGTACCTTCTCTGTGAGAAGTGGATGTCGTGGTCATGGTGGACCCCTACACGTCCACCTTGGTGCTGTCTCCCTGCATTCATTCCTGCAGGTCCACTTTCCCACAGTCACCAGGATGGTTCGTTTTGATGGAATCATATTATAAATGTTTTCAGGAGTGAAAACACTCCTGTGGCCTTTCATGACACTAGGGCTAAAACCCTCAGGTCCTCCGTTCCTGAAGCTCCTTTCACCTGAGACACTTGTGCTGAGGGCCGGAGCCAGCCAGATCATCCTAGTCATCCAGACCCTGCTCAGAGAGCCCCTCCGTGCTGGCCCATTCCAAATGCCTGCATTGTGCCTAGGAAAGGGATGTATGGGTACAGCATGAGGGTGTTTGTGACCTGTGCCCACTGGCCAGACCCCGACAGAGCACCCATCTGCCTTCGTCATACCCTGTCCTAGAGACTGGACACCGTAGGGCTACATCACATATTGTTGATGAATGCATGGATGGACAATGTGCCTAAGAGTCGGGCCTGAGCTCCTGGAGGTCCTTGCTCTGCTGCGCACACTTATCTTTGAAATTCGGACGCTCAGGTCGTCTCTACGGACTTCCTCGGTGATACCCACTCGTCCATCTTCGATGCTAAGGCTGGCATTGCGCTCAATGACAATTTCGTGAAGCTCATTTCGTGGTAAGGGGGAAAGGGCTGGAGACTCAGTAGGAGGGGAACTAAGGGGTGGTCGGAAGGGACCCCCTTGAACCTCCCGACCCCTCCTCCACAGGTACGACAACGAATATGGCTACAGTCACCGGGTGGTCGATCTCCTCCGCCACATGTTTAGCCAAGACAAGTGAAGCGGGAAGGTCCTTTCTTTCCCTCCCAGGGGCCACGGCCGGAACCTGTGCCTCCCGTTTCAGGATCTGGCTCTCTGGCTCTCCGGGGGAGGAAGGGCACCCGGGGTGGGCGCCCCACGCCGCTGAGGCCATGGTGAAATAAAGAACAGTGCTCACAGTTGCGTCCCGCATCTCTGCAGCCGGTTACGGCGGGTTCTGATTCGGGTTTAAGGCCCGCCCCACACTTACTCGATCGCCTGCGCCCACCGGCAAGGGGTCGCGTTCTACTCCAAGCCGGGTTCCACTTCGGGAGACTGGGACGGCAGTGGCAGCCGGGCAAACCCCGCACGGCCGAAAGTCGCTCCCCACAGCGCTGGGCCGGGAGCGCTTTGAACCAGCGTCGCCCAAGAGCGCTCTGACGTCACTGGGCGCGACGCCCCGCGCCGGGACTACGGCTCCCAGAAGGCCGCGCGCGAGCCGCGGCTAGTCAGGTAGGCTCCAGGCCCTGGCTGCTGCAGAAGCGCCGGCGGAGCAGGAGACCCGCTCCGGGAGACGCCGCCTCGCTATCCCCGCGCGGGCGGGACAGGGCGGCCGGCGTCATGACCCTGTTTCACTTCGGGAACTGCTTCGCTCTCGCCTACTTCCCTTACTTCATCACCTACAAGTGCAGCGGCCTGTGAGTGCGGGAAGGGCGCGGGGTGGAGAGGGTGCGGGGCCCGGGCCGACCCTCACCGCCCGCTTCTCCAGGTCAGAATATAACGCCTTCTGGAAATGCGTCCAGGCTGGAGTCACCTACCTCTTTGTGCAGCTCTGCAAGGTGAGGGCCGTCGAGACCCCACGTGTCTGGCCCCTAGGCTCTGCAGACCCAGGGACCCGCCCCCGTTGCGTATCCCCGATGGTGGGACCGCCCTCGGGACTCCGCAATGGGATGGTGTCGGGATACCTGGAGATGATGGACTTTAAAGAGAGCACGACCTGAAAAGAGGCGTAGAAACAACTCTCGCGTAGCACTTAGTAAAATTGAGAAAACCTCAGTAGTGTGCTTGGCTAAGAGGGTTTTTTGGTGCAGTTAAGAGTGTTCACTGATTCCCCACGTGCTGCTAACACTGCCGAAGGAGCAGCACTGACTCAGATGCCCTGTGATCACCCAGAACTTAAACTTCCAGCCCCCTCGAGGACCCAGGGACCTATCCTCTATCTCTCCCATGCCTGTAATCTTGCCATCATCTGGTGGTTCCTCTTCCAGATGGGCCCCCGGAACCTGTCCTGCTCTCCTTGTGCAAACGAATTTCCCACAAAACCCACGTGGTTGATCGTGATCCTCTCACCTTGAAGTGACCTCTTTCTGCTTTCTGTTCTCAGATGCTGTTCTTGGCCACCTTCTTTCCCACCTGGGAAGGCGGCATCTATGACTTCATTGGGGTGAGAGGGGCCGGGGAAGGGGAGGGAGTGCAGGAGTGGGGTGGGCCTCCCTGTCTCCTGTGCTTACTTAAGCTTCAACCTGACCCTCAGGAGTTCATGAAGGCCAGCGTGGATGTGGCCGACCTGATAGGCCTAAACCTTGTCATGTCCCGGAATGCCGGCAAGGGGGAGTACAAGATCATGGTTGCTGCCCTAGGCTGGGCCACGGCCGAACTTATTATGTCCCGGTGCGTGCAGCAGCCTGGAGCCCAGACCCCTGAGAAGGGACACCTGGGTTCCATGGGGGTGCTGGAGGGCTGGTGCTGAGGGTGTCTGGGTACTAGAGAATCCCATCCTTTGCCTTCCTCAGCTGCATTCCCTTATGGGTTGGAGCCCGGGGCATTGAGTTTGACTGGAAATACATCCAGATGAGCATAGACTCCAACATCAGTCTGGTACGCAGTCCTGCTCTTGCCTACACACATTTCTGCTGGTGGCCATAGTCCTCCCTGAGGCCTGGCCCCGACTTTCTGCCTCCCTCCAGGTCCATTACATTGTCGCGTCTGCCCAGGTCTGGATGATAACACGCTATGATCTGTACCACACCTTCCGGCCGGCTGTCCTCCTGCTGATGTTCCTTAGTGTCTACAAGACCTTTGTTATGGAGTGAGCTGGGTGGGGTTTGTGGCTGGGTCCAGAGGGGGATGGGTTATCTATTCTATTCTCCCTCCCTCATTGTGACATTTTCCCTGCAGGACCTTTGTCCACCTCTGCTCGCTGGGCAGCTGGACAGCCCTGCTGGCCCGGGCAGTGGTAACGGGGCTGCTGGCCCTCAGCACCTTGGCCCTCTATGTCGCCGTTGTCAACGTGCACTCCTAGGCTTGGTGTCTCAGACACTGGCGTACCTTTTCCCCGCCTTGCTCCAGGTTTTAGTGAAGTAAACAGTATTTGGAAAGCTGCTGCTGCCGCCATTTCTCTCTGTTGGGAACTGTCTTCCAATCCCGTGCCCACCTGGGTCCCAGAGGCCCTGGTTCTGGCTCAGGAGGGGGTAGACAAGCTGGAAGCTAGCCAGTTACTGACTTGCGCCATGTCCTGGAGCAGTTTCACTGGCTCCTTGTTTTCTGGGAGTAGACAGAAGGTTTGGATGATCTCTGAGCGGTGGCAGAGGCCAGGGCCCTCAAGGAACAGGTGATAGCGGGGAGCTAGACTCCAGAGAGGGCCCTTGGGGGGTCTTCCTCTCCTTACAGCCTCAACCTGGGCCTCCCCACATGTGCCCTTCCCAGGCTGGTTACCTCTGAGGCACCTGGCCCCAGTGTCCCCTTCCAATCTGTCCTGTGTATGGCAGCCAGTGGATCTATCTGAAATCTAACCTTGTCATCCTCCCACTTGTGGCCCCTTGTTACACTGTGGACAGTTCAATTGCTTGGCCTGTGGATTTACCCAACCAGCAAAACCAGCTTTTCTGAAACTGCTCCCTGGATTGATTTGCCCAGCCAGATTCTTCACGTCATTCAAGCCATGGGGTCAGCATGGGGCTCGGGGGAGAGTTGTGACTCTGAGCCCCTCAGTTCTATGGCCTGCAGATCAGATCCCGGCCTGAGCCGTCTCAGGGTGGAGTAGAAAGACAGCTGCAGCCAAGGAGCAGAACGGTGGGGCCCCTAGCTTGGACGTTGTCCTGGGTGTCCCCCTCCCTGCCCCCCATACCCTCAGCCTTCCTTGGTCCACTAAAGCCAGCTCCCTGCCCCATTCCCCACCTCTCTCTGAGAGGGATGTGTCAGAAGCTTTGAATGTCATGTTTAAGCTCCACTTCGATGCACACCCTCCCACTCAGGAAGGTGCTCCCCAGCCCTGGTGTTTCATTGGGGTACCCCGGGGAGCAGGATAGGACAGTTGCCCCTCCTCTTCCACCAGGCGGTTGAGGTTCCACATTATATTATTTAAGCTTGTGCCTAGGAAAGCTCGCTATAACCGTCTTGTGTTTCCAGAGGGCGCATTTGCCCTAAGACAGGGCAGCCGCCATCTGGGCCCACTCTTCCTCATGGTTTGGAATAAAGACAGGGTCCAGGAGTCTCTTGGGAGCTGGAAATGATTGATCGCCTTGACATTGATGTGGAAAGGAAGTAGATGGGGCAGTCTATCTAGGTGGACTTATGACAAGGTCACTTTCTCCCACACTTCCATGCCCCACATAGCTCTTTACACATTTTGAGACAAGTGTCAGTTGCAGAAATTACCAACTGGAATAATCCCCACTTGTATGGGGTTCAGAGAGAGAGACGGGTGGTTAGGGCTGAGTTGGCAGAGGGCAGTGAAGCCTAGGCAGCAGGACTGTGGTGAGCCAGGCTGCAGATGATTGGAGTTATGATGGGGAAACACCCGGGTTATGGGGACCCGCAGGAGCCGCCTGACCTGCCGTGGAAGCAGTGTGGGCTCCCCTGAGCAGAGCACATGTGAGCTGAGACCTAAAGAATGAGCGACTGGGGCAAGGCAGAGGTAATGGTCTTGAGGTCAGAGGGGAGGCCTCTTTTCCCCAACGGAACATAACTCGTTGGAATGAGTTCAAGGGGGCTTGTGAGACTACAGAAACTGGCAGGGGTGAGATCACAGAAGGCTTTGGGAACCATGGAGAGCTCTAGGCAGAGGATAGAAGGGTCAGATAACAGCTTTAGGGAGCTCTGCATGACTATTGTCTGGAGTGGGGAGGCTGAGACCAGGAGGCCAGGGCTGGACCAGAGTAGGGCTGTTGGGGTGCGGGGAGTGGCTAGAAACTAAGCCCAGGTGATGGTGATCAGTGGGCTGTGTGTATTTATTTACCGCCAGGGGGCGCCCTGGGGCAACAACAGGTAAGGGAGGAGCAAAGAGTTTCAGGGTAACAGGAGTTTGGGATTTGTAAGCCCCAGGGCTCACCAAGGGAGAAGGGACCACACTGATAGGACAGTGGGACTATCAGATTGGGTCAGTGCATGGGTGCAGGTTTGGGGGAAGATGCAGAGCAGTGTAGGTCACCTCGGATACTGGGGGAAGCTCGGGACAGATGCGGGTCTCACTGCAGAGATAACTGAAGCCATGGGGAGCTGGGGGGCTGTGATCACAAGGAAGGAGAAGCCCAAGCCCTAGCCAGAGAAAGCCATAAGAAAGAGGTAGAGGCTGGGCGCGGTGGCTCATGCCTGTAATCCCAGCACTTTGGGAGGCCGAGATGGGTGGATCACGAGGTCAGGAGTTCAAGACCAGCCTGGCCAACATGGTGAAACCCCATCTCTTAAAAAAAAAAGAAAAGAAAAGAGGAAGAGAGGTGAACAGAAGGGACTGGGAAAGGAGCGGCAGAGGTGGGAGGTGGGGGGATGGGGAGGACAGGTGTCTCCAGTAGTCAGAGGGGTTAACCTTTCAGGTGAAGGGTGTGAAGAGGGGACCTCAAGGAGTTGGTCACACACTGGCCACTGCTGGGACAGAGGAGCAAGCAGATAGGCTCAGAGGGGAGACACCTGCGGGGGGTGGGGGATGCTTGAGGTACAAATGACTTGGTCCCCTTGTGTCCGGGAGCCCCCAGGAGGGAAAAGGGTGCTGAGAATAGAGAAAGCCCAGAGGTGGTAGGGGTGCGTGTGGTCACGGCCCAGCTTGCCTTTAGATGCCATGACCCTAGGCAAAGAAATAGGAATCATTTCCCGCCCCCCCCCAAGGCAGGTTTATTGAGCACCTACTATGTGCCAGGCTGTGTTCTAGGCACTGGAGGTACAGCCCTGAATAAACAGCCCCCATGTGTAGGATTGTGGGAGATCACAGTCACTAACAAGAGACACTGAGGACAGTGCCTGGCACCGGATACCACACAGCATGAGCTGGTTTTATTACCATCTCGCAGGACACAAGCGTATCTTTAACGAAGGGCCGCTGGGCAGCCCTCCTGCCTGGACTGGAGTCCTAAGGACAGACACCCTCCAGTTGTACTCCCTGTCAGAGCCCCACCGCCACCAAGTGGGGGCTTTCCCGAGGCCAGCTCAGAGGACTGTGCCCAGGTACTGCTGCTCCAGGAGGTGCAAACCTTGGGGATGGGGAAGGGGAGTAGGCAGGGTCCCTCCAAGTTTGGGGTGCTGTGGACTGCAGAAGCAGATACTGGTGGGGCTGGGACTCTTGGTAGCTCAGATGTCTTGGTGGCTGTCCAGAGGGTCCCAGGAGCCCTGCCCCCACCTGCCGTGGCAGTTGCAGGGATGCTTGAAGGCAGTTGTCCCTCTAATAGTAGAGTTCCTGGTCCCACCAGCCTTGGAGAGAGAGGGAACAAGGAGACTCAGTGCTGGGGGTGCCACTTAGGCAGAGCCAGGGGCTCAGGGGTCATGGATCAGTGGTGGTTGCTATGGAGGGTCAATGGCTTGGAGGCCATTGACGTGTTGAGGATCAAAGGTGGGTGCAGCTGCTCGAAAACATTTCAGTCCCTCATCTCCACACTCACTTCCTGGGCAACAGCGAACTCCAAGCTTCCTGATCTCATCATAGACGAAGATGAGGATGCCGTAGGGCAGGGGGACCAGCCACCACTGGAACCTGAAGGCACATGGCAAGGTGAAGGCCATCCCAGGCCTGTGTCCCGCAGCCCCCTCCCTCTGCTCGCCGCTCACAGCCTCTCACCGAATGGGCATGAAGTTGAAGATGTTGGGCATGCCGGGGCAGTAGCACAGGAAGCAGCCGATGCAGACCTGGAACACGATGGCAATCACCAGGATCTTATTCCTGCGGGGGCGGGGCAGCAGGATGGGACAGGCCATTAGGAACTGGGAACCTGATGGAAATTAGGATACTGTGGGTCAAAGTAGGTCTGATGTCAGCAGCAGCAGGGATGTGTTCTACACACTGAACACTGGAGTGGCCCGGGCGCCTCGGCACCAGCCCTTCAGTGAAATGTGGAGGGGCCGCAGGGGGAGCTATTGGTCAGTTAGAAAAGTGTTAGGGCATGTCAGCATCTGGCATCAGCACCCACTGGTGTTTGCCAGCTGTTCCAAACCACGGCCAGAATCTGATGGGAGTTGGGACCAGGGACTGGATGGAGGGCAGGAGGGGGGCCAGCCAGGGACACCTGAAGAAGCCCTGCTGGAAGGCAGAGAGGCGGCGTGTCTTGCGGATGAGCACGTCGGCAATCTGGCACACCTCGATGCTGATGAAGAACACGGTGTAGCAGGTGTACTGCTGGTACAGGCGCTGCCCGAACGTCTGCAGGCCAGGGACAAACAGAAGCAGCCTGAGTGCCTGTGGACAGCCTCTGCAGCTCCCCCGGGCATAGGGTCCGGGGGCTGTGAACCCCTCAATTCTCTGCCTTGCATCAGAGGTTCATGGGTGGGGGCAAGGAGAGAGGCAGGGTCTGCCAGGTTTGCAGGACCCCAGACTTGTGGGGCCAGGAAACCTCAGCCTTGCAGATCTTGGATGACAGGGCTGGGAAAACAGTAGGCTGGGCTGGACTGCTTTCATAGTGAAAGTGGGGAGGTACCCACTAGGAAGGGCCCAGGAAGGGGAATTGAAATCCTGAGATGGGATTTGCAAAGTCCAGTGACTCCAGGGGCCAGGTGGATGGCAAAAATAAGTGAGGAAGGCATGAAGGGCCTTTGGGGAGCAGAGGGTATGTGCCCCATTTGAAGGGGGCAGCCACTATGCAGTCCATTTCTTCAACCCAGCTACTTGTTTTTTGAGATGGAGTCTCGCTCAGTCACCCAGGCTGGAGTGCAGTGGCACAGCCTCAGCTCACTGCAACCTCCACATCTCGGGCTCAGGGAATTCTCCTGCCTTAGCCTCCCAAGTAGCTGGAATTACAGGCATGTGCCACCATGCATGGCAGTACAACCCCTTCTAATGCCAGCTAACTGCGGGGATTGCCAACTCCTCCAGGTGCTGCATGTTGCACGTGCATTAGCTCATTTAATCCTCCCGATGACCCTAGGAGGTAAATCAGTGGTGCTGGAACTTGAACATGCAAGAGAATCCCAGCAAGGGCTCCCAGAGGGCGGGAATCGGGCCTGAGAATTTTGCCTTTCAAACAAGATCCCAGGTGATGCTGATGTGGCTGGTCTAGAAACAAACTGAAAACCACTGAGGTAGACACTGGTATTCTCTCCACTTGGCAGGTGAGAAAACAGACACAGAGGGAAAGCAACCTGCCCAGGGTTACACAGCTTGTGAGGAGCAGTACCAGACTGTGAGTCCAGGCAGCCTGGCTTCAATGTCTATTTTGACCATCAGTAAATGTTTGAGGGAAATGTCCTGGTCTGTATGTAACTCTACAGATGAACTAAACACCTTTGCTAGCCAGATCTAGCCTCACTGTGCTCCCAACCTTCATTAAAATGGGCCACATGTGCAAATACCCTGTGGGAGTGATACTAGAGGGAAAAGAAGCAGGATAGGGGCCGATTCCACCTTCGAGATGAGCAGTAGTGTCGGCAGGGACACCCATCTGCATTTGGGATCATCAGAAGCAAGAGTTTGGAGCTGCAGTTGGTGGGAAAGGCTCTTTCCCCCAGAACCAGCAGGGAGTCTGGGTGTCCAGGATGCTTCGGCTGAACCCAGTAACACGTGGAGGAGTGAGCAGGCCACACACAAGGCAAGTGGCCCTGGAAAGGAGAGAGCCCAGAGATGGGGTGCGCAGGGCGGGGCTCACCCACTCCTGGCCGTAGCTGTCCTGCAGATCTTGCAGGTGGTGGTCCTCCCACTGCGGCCGCAGCCCCACGCACAGCAGTGGGAACCAGCCCTCCTGGGCCATGGCCGTGAAGTAGTCAGTGAAGCCAGCAAAGGACTGAATGGCACCTGGAGAGAGGCAAAGGGACACAGGGAGACAGAGATGGACACAGAGACAAGGACACAGGAAGAAAGGCACATGGAGAGACAGGGATGCAGGAACAGTGACAGACACAGAGCAGCAGAGACAGAAGCAGGGACAGAGAGAGAGAGAAAAAAAGACACATCCAGGACCCAAAAAGACAAGTAGGCCATGACTCAGAGACAGGGTCATGGAGAGCAAGGTCAGAGACGGCAGGGACACAGGGGGACCAGAGAGACCATCACAGACAGGGACACGGAGGGCAATGGAGACCCAGGACCAAATGCAGACACTGAGGTCCAGAAACAGCCAGAGCCCAAGGCAGGGCCTGGAGCAGGCGAGCAGCTCAGTGCAGAGCCCCTCAGGCTCCCCATTCCATGGGCACCCACCAATCTGGAAGTAGGAGTAGGCAGCCAGGGGCTCGTTGACCAATCTGTCGCGCTTCGGGTTTCGTGGACGCAGGTGCATGATGTCACTCTCAGCCTTTTCGTATGCCAGGGACACAGATGGGAACTGGCCAGGAATGGAAGGAACTGGGACTAAGGGTTTGCCTGGGCCCCTGTCCCCTCCACTCTGGGTCCCCCTTCTCCCTCTTGTGGGCAAGAACAGGACTGAGGTTAGGAGGTAGGACCTGCAGGGACGGCACAGCCACACCAGCTTGGACAGCCTGGGCGTTGGCATCTTGGTGTCCATCTTCATAAAACATCTGCTTTTTGGCCAGGCGCGGTGGCTCATGCCTGTAACCCCAGCACTTTGGGAGGCCGAGGCAGGAGAATCACCTGAGGTCAGGAGTTCAAGACCAGCCTGGCCAACATGGCAAAACCACGTTTTTACTAAAAGTACAAAAATTAGCCGGGCTTGATGGCGGGTGCCTGTAATCCCAGCTGCTCAGGAGGCTGAGACAGGAGAATTGCTTGAACCCAGGAGGCAGATCTGGCTGCCTTCGTGGCTGTATCTGTGGCTTTTTTCCGTCTGTGTCCTGTGGAGTCTTATCTGTGGGTGTTTATTTGTCCCTGTCTGTTTAGGGTCATGTATCTGTGATTCGAGTCTGGCCAGATACCTGTTCTGTTTACATCTCTGTCTGAGAACCTGTATCTGAGTCCCTGTGTGTACATGGGTCAGCCTGGGCTGACCTGAGTGTGTGCATGGCTGTAGGTCTGTCCACATAGGCCTTTCCACCTGCCTGCCACTTGTGTGTCCTGCACTGGCTGTCATTGCACACACAGGTTCTGTCTGGCACTCTGTGCCCAAGAGTGTCTGTGGCGGTCTCTGTCCCTCCTGTCCATCCGCAGGGCAAGTGTCTCTGGACACCCTGTGGATGGGGGCCCTGGGCTGTGGACTCACGATGTCAGTGCAGAGTTCGATGAAGAGGATGGTGATGCACCCGAGGGGCAGGGGCACGCTGACAGTGATGTAGATGAGGTAGGGCGTCAGCTCCGGGATGTTCTTGGTCAATGTGTAGGCGATGGACTTCTTCAGGTTGTCGAAGATAAGTCGGCCTGTGGGGTAGGGAGGGCACCTCAGCCACCTCACAGCCCTCTCTCTCCTGTGCCCACACCGCCTGCCCCCTTCTTGGCCTGGCACGGACCCTGCTCCACGCCTGTCACAATGGAGGCAAAGTTATCATCCAGCAGGATCATGTCGGCTGCATTTTTGGCAGCATCTGAGCCAGCAATGCCCATGGCTACTCCAATGTCTGCCTTCTTCAGGGCTGGGGAGTCATTCACACCATCCCCTGTGACGGCCACAATCGCACCCTGCAGGCAGTGGTGCAGGTGGGTGGGCAGGTGGTCAGTGAGAGGCTGGCCTAGGACCAGCCCTGCCTGTCTGCCCACCTGCCCGCCCTCATCAGCAGGGCTCACCAGCCTCTGGCAGCTCTCCACGATTACCAGCTTCTGCTGGGGGCTGGTGCGTGCAAACACCATCTCAGGGTGGGTGCGCAGGGCCTCGACCAGCTCCGACGGGTCCATGTCCTTCAGCTGCATGCCATTGATCACACAGGCACGGGCGTCCCTGGGGAGGAGATGGAAGGACCTCACTGGGACCTCAGTCTGTGCCATGTGTGTGGGGAGAACCACAGGGAGGCCTGGGGGGGCTTACTTGCGATTAACCTGGTCCACAGGCACACGGAGGCGGGCAGCGATGTCCTCCACTGTCTCGCTGCCTTCTGAGATGATGCCCACACTGGCTGCAATGGCCTTGGCGGTGATGGGGTGGTCACCTGTCACCATGATCACCTGTAGGAGGAACCAGCAGATCCCTGACCCCTTCAGATCAGCCCCATCTCCCTGTCCTCCCTGGGAGACATCTGCTGATACACATGTTCATATACTTGACCACCTGCTACATGCCTGGGATATAGCAGAGACAAAAGAGATGAAAATCCCTGTCCTTGAGGAGCTAGCATTCCAGTGGTGGTGACAGAAAATAAAGAATGAATTATATCGTATGTTAGAAGGTAGAAAACACATATTAAGCTTGGTGGAGGCAATGGTGACTCTATTTTAAGTGTGCCCAGGGAAGGGCTCCTTGAGAAGGTGACATCTGAGCAGATACTTGAAAGAGGTGAGAGAATTGGCCACATGGAAAGCTGGGGGAAGAGTGCTTCTGGCAGAGGGAACAGCAGATGCAAAGGCCCAGAGGTGAAGACAGACCCGAACTGTTGGAGGAACAGCAGGGAGGACAGCATGACCACAGAGGAGTGAACAAGGAAACAGGGCTAAGGAACAAGCTTAGAAAGGCCCAGATCTAACAGGGCCTTAGAGACACAGGAAGGGCTTGGGCATTGCCTGCCTGGCCATGGCTTCCCCACCTTTGTTTTGTGTTTGGGGAGCCACTCCTCTCCCCTAGACCATAGGTCTCAGTGAGATCCCTGGCTAAGACTGGGCAAGTAAGCCCAGACCTGGCCAATCAAGGTGTTCCATCTTCCAGCCACAGTGACTGGCTCAGAGATGAATGAGTGACCCAATCTGGCACTAGTGCAAAAGAGACACTTTTTTTCTGTGAGGTGGCTAAACAGGTGAGAGTTAAGTTCAAGCTGCTGGAGCAGGGGTGTGTGTGTCCCCAAGTGGAGGGAGTGCTTGCAAATAAAGCCAGCAGAGAGAACAGCAAAGCTGAGACATGGAGAAAGGCAAATTCCTAATGACACCGAGCTCCTGGATTCAGCTATACCTGAAGTTTTAATTCCCCAGAATTTTTCAGTATCATAAACCAACGTATTTTGGTTCAAGCCAGTTTCAGGTGAGTTTATCGTCGGGTTCCTCATCCACAAATGCTGCTGCCATCCTCTGTCCTCACCCCACCTGTTCCTCCCCACAGTGGCATACCCGGATGCCTGCTGTGCGACACTTGAGCACAGCATCAGGGACGGTGGCCCGGGGTGGGTCAATCATGGATACAAGTCCAGCAAAGCAGAGGCCGCTAGATGGGAAGTTCATGGCCTCCACGTCAAAGGCATAGCCAGGCGGGTAGTCCTTCTCATTCAGGTAGAGCTGGCAGAAGCCTGATGAAACAGGGACGTCAGGGAGGAGCCCCGGGCAGACCCTTCCTTAGCAGGGCCAGGAGGTAAGTAAAATAACCAGCCCCTTGCACCAAATACCTGTGGATGCTTGACCCTGTGCTGACCCCTTCACTTGCATTATCTGAATCTACCCTCACAACCACCTTGTGAGGCCCATCCTCATCTTACAGATGAGGAAACTGAGGCTCAGAGAGGGGACATTTCTTGCCAGAGGTCACACAGCAAGTAAAAGACCCAGAATTAGACCACGGACCTGCTTTCTAGGGTAGAGGCAGGGAAGTTTAAGGTGTTAGGACAAAACTTGGGAGAGGTCAGGGTACGGATGAAAAGTCCAGGTGAGGACAGACAGGGGCCGGGACTGGTACAGGCAAAGTCATAGGGGTGAGGCTGTGGACTGCGACAGATCAGCCGGCAGCCAGTGATGAGGACCGTGAGGAGTGGGCAAAGTGCGCTAGCTCCTCCTCGCACCTGGAGCCTCCTCCCCTGCCCAGGGGCCTCACCAAGCACGCGTTCACCCAGGCCTCCCAGGCTGAGGTAGGCGGTCTGGAAGGCCTCACGCCACTGCTCATCCAGAGGCAGCTCCTGGCCCTTGATGAGGATGGAGCTGCAGCGCTCCAGCACGCGCTCGGGGGCGCCCTTCATCACCAGCAGGTGTCGCAGGTCCCGCGGGTCCTCCAGCGTGTGGATGGACAGCTATGGGCGTGGAGGGGCGATGCTGTGGGCGGGGAATGGGCGGGGCTGAGGAGAGGCGGGGCCGAGAGCGCGGGGTTGGGGGCTGAGAGCGGCGGGGACAGGTGAAGGTGGAAAATGGGGACATTGCAGGGTGGGTACTTGATACAGGGTGAGCGTTAAGGAAGGGCTAGGCACAGATTTGGGGGTCCTAGGTGTAAGGAATGAACATAATTAGGGTGCGGAGTTGGGCTGGGGCAGGATTTGGAGCGCGAGATCCTCCCCATGCAGAGTCTTGCCCAGAGACTGGGCGGGGCTGGATGGTGGGCGGGGCCGTAGGCAAAGCGGGAGATGAGATTGGGGTTTGGCTGTGGAAAGGAGGCTGGGGGCACCTGATATGGGTGGGGCATGGGGCAGGGCCCGAGGTGGATGGGACCAGGCCGTGGGCGGGGCCGGCTGCGTACCTGGAACTTGTTGGTGGAGTTGAAAGGGATCTCGCAGACTTTTGGGAAGCGGTCGCGGTAGCCCATGGCGTTGCCCAGCGTCAGCTCTGAGAACTTGAGCAGCGCCGTCTCCGACGCGTCTCCGATCACGATGCGCTGGGAGCGGGGGCCGGTGTCAGGGGGGAACCTGACTGCACCAGGCTCCTGGTATTCCCTGGAGGTCCCCCGGCCCTCACCTTGGGCACGGGCACTGCGTCCTGGCCGGACTTGAAGGCGGCGCGGTTGCACAGGGTGAGCACCCGGCACAGCGCCCGCCACGTCTCCGAGGACTGGTCAAACGTCTGCCCTGCAGACCAGGCGTCCAGGCTGGGTCCCGCACCGCGGCTCTCCCGGACCAGAACCGAGACCCCACCTCCTAGGCTCAAGTCAGGGGACTCCTCCCCAGACCTGGGTGGGTTTGGGGTACACCCAGCCCTGAGGGACCCAACCCCAGGATGAGCCTTCCCTCTAGACCCAGTAGCGAGTCTCCTTTGAGACCTGGAGCCGAGCCGTGCCCCCATCATACAAAGCCCTCCCTACCTCCCCAACCCCCTTCAGGTCTCCACTATCCACCATCCACCAGATCCTGCCCTGGCGCCTGTGCCCTCCCTTCCCCACACCTGACTGGTCTTCCGTGGTGTCAGCTGTGTGGATGTGGTTGTCAAACCACAAATGGGACACAGTCATGCGGTTCTGAGTGAGCGTCCCTGTCTTGTCCGAGCAGATCACTGAGGTGGAGCCCAATGTCTCCACTGCCTCCAGGTTCTTGACCACGCAGTTCTTACTGGCCAGGCGCTTGGCTGTCAGGGAGAGGCAGACCTGGGGAAGGGGTGAGTACCATAGGTTGGGGACCACTCTTGCTTCCAGCCCTCTTCCCAGCTTCACAGCACCGGGAAGGCTTCCTAGCTGTGGGGCTGCATGTGCAACTTGCTTCTGCAAACAGCAGGCATTTTCTTGCCCCCAGCTTTTGTTCAGCCTGTGCTTTGTTTGGGACTCCTTCCCCAGTCTGCCCAGATACTGTGTCCTAGCCAAGGTGCTGAAAATTCTCATCACACAACCAAAATGAGAAAAGGAACCTTCCCTGTGGTTTCTTCATGGCTAGTCTGGGGCTGGGTGCTGATTATGGAAGGCTGGGTGACATGCTGGCTGCCCGTACAGGACCTCAGCCTCCTCTGGTCAAGGACTGGCCAGCCTCGGCATCTCTGCGCCCTTGATGTGTGGCACAGGACATGGCCCAGGGTCGCCTCAGGAAGCACTTGCTGAATGGGTGGTTGATGGGAAGATGGGAGGGTTGATGGGAGTGGAGTGGACGGATGGACAGGCAGGGATGTGATGAGGAAGCATGGAGGAAAGAGCAGATGGCTTGGCAGGACCCTCAGCTCCCTGCGCCCCCACCTGCCCCCACTCACTGTGACAGTGGCCAGCAGCCCCTCAGGCACGTAGGCCACCACAATGGCCATGAAGAAGACCATCGCCCGCAGGAAGGTGTAGCCGATGCACATGGCCACGATAAAAAATGTGGCACCAAAGAGTATGGCCAGGCCTGCGATTATGTCCACAAAATGCTCAATCTCGATAGCAATGGGTGTCTTCTCGTTTTCCACCCCTGACGCCAACGATGCAATGCGCCCAATGATGGTGCGGTCGCCCGTGTTCACCACCAGGCCCTGCGCAGTGCCTGCAGGGGGCCAAAGGGTGACTCAGAGATTGGGGGGCAGTGGGGTGTGTGCTGCTCTATGAGTTGAAGGAGAGCCAGTCACCACCAGCAGAGGGTGTGACCTGGGGAGAGGGTAACGACAGTGGGAGACAGAGAGGCAGCATATCCCAGGGAGGTGGCAGTCATGCGGGAGAAGGCAACGAAGCAGAAGCTCCCTGTTCTAGAAGGTAGCAGAAGAGAGGCCAGTGGAGGCAGTGGTTACTGGGCAGGCAGGCACGAGCTTCACACACCCTCAAGGCACATGGTGGAGAAGAAGGCAATGTTGCGGGTCTCCAGGGGGCTCTCATGTGTGCACTCAGGTGAACGGGTCTGCGGCTCAGACTCCCCCGTCAGCGAGGAGTTGTCCACCTTGCAGCCCTGGGCCGCCAGGATGCGGATGTCAGCGGGCACTCTGTCCCCGCCTTTCATCTCCACCAGGTCACCCACCACCAGCTGGTCAGCGTTGATCTGGAACTTGTCTCCATCTCGGATGACAGTGGCTTGCTGTGGGACAAGAGTTTAGGTGGATGGGGGGGTGGGGAGGTGGGAGTTGCTGCATGTGAGGAGGTAGAGGGTGGGGAGAATTGGGGACTTAAGGGGAGAGATGGAGGCCACGGATGAGGGGCAGGTTGGGCCTAATGGGAGGAGGCTGCAGGAGCCTCCGGAGAGGTTAGGGGTCTCTGGGATCTGGAGTGGCTGGGTGCTGAGGAACCCACCTGTGGCACAAGGTTCTTGAAGCTGGCGATGATGTTGGTGCTCTTGAATTCCTGGTAGTAGCCAAAGCAGCCAGTGACGACAACTACAGCGATGAGAGCAATTGCCAGGTACAGCTGGGGACAGGGACAGGGACAGGGCTGGGGTTATTCGGAGGGGCTGGGAGCTGCCAGCCGGGGACCGCCCCCCCTCCCCCGCTCCCTGGTGCCCTGGTGTTCTTGGGGTCACCTCCACGATTTTCCCCACCTACTAGGAAACTTCATGCACCATTCCCTGTGGCCTGCGGCCCCCTCCCCATGTCCCTCATGCCCCACACTCGCCTGCCCTGTCTTCTCAGTGTCTTGTGTTCCTGTGTATATTTCACATCTTCTGGCCCTTGTTGGAATAGATGCTGGAAATAGATGCTCAGTGCCGCAAAGAAAAATTAGCACTGAGACAGAGGATCATGAGTACCTTCCTGCAGTCCAGGGAGTAAAAATTTCGTTGCTGAAAGATCCTTTGTCTCAGTGCTAATTTTTCTTTGTAGCACCAAGCATCTATTTCCAGCATCTATTTCCAACACCCTGAATCCTCAGTCTTCCAAGTCCCCATATCTATGACTTGTACCCCAAGTCACTGTGTGCCTTGGTCTGGCACGTTCCCTTCTCCTGTGTCCCCAAGCCTTGCATTCCCCATGTCCACTGTCCCACGCCTCCTGCTGTCCCCATGGCCTGTATTCCCCATGTCTCCAGTTTCACATCCTGGGTTTTCCATAATCCGCAGCCACCCTCTCTGTCCCCTTGTCCCTGCGTCCTCACATCCCCATCCCTGTGTGTGCTGCAGACCTTGTGTGTCATGGTCTGTGTCCTCACGGGCCATGGCTCCCATGTTCCAGCTCCCCGATCACTGTGTTCTGTTTCCCCCATGTCTGCGTATCTCTGAGTCTCCATCCTGTGTCCGGTGGCTATGACTTTTCAAGCCTCTGTCCGATGTCATGTGTCCCTGAGTCCCCATGTCCCTTGCCCTGACCTCTGCCATGTGTCCAGTGTCTACGGCCCTGTGTCTCCATTTCCTCTCTGTCTCTGTGCTTCTGTGTCTCATGTTTTGTGTCTCTCCATGTGCTGTGTCTGGAAGCTTGTGTCCCTGCCCTGGTTTCCCATGTCTGAGTCCCAGGGTCCCCTCTTCCCCACACCCCAGTCTGTCTTGTGTCTGCGTGTCCTGTTTCCCAAGTCTTCTCTCTGTCTCTCTCTCTCTCTCTCTCTCTCTCTCTCTCTCTCTCTCTCTCTCTCTCTCTCTCTCTCTCTTTCTCTTTTCTTTTTGAGACAGAGTCTTGCTATGCTGCCCAGGCTAGTATGCAGTGGCATGGTCTTGCCTCACTGCAACCTCCACCTCCTGGGTTCAAATGATTCTCCTGCCTCAGCCTCCTGAGTAGCGGTTCCCGCCACCATGCCTGGCTAATTTTTGCATTTTTAGTACAGATGGCGTTTCACCATCTGTTGGCCAGGCTGGTCTCGAACTCCTGACCTGGTGATCCACCTGCCTCAGTTTCCCAAAGTGCTGGGATTACAGGCATGAGCCACCGAGCCCAGCCTCCAAGTCCCATCTCTTACATATCACATTGCCATACTCTTTACATCCCCCACCCATGTCCCCATACCCAAGACTCACCCCAGTGTCCCTGCGTCCTGTGTCCTTGTGTCAGCCCCATCCATATCCCAATATCCTCCACCCCCCATGACTCCTGTCTTGAGACTGCCTTTCGTGTTTCTGTATCCCCATCTTCTGCCCCTCTTGTCCTGAGTCCCATGCTCAGTGTCCTCTGTCCCCAGGTCCCAGTGTCCTGAGGCTGTCCCCGCATCACCACTCACGTTGTCATCGGTGGTGAGGTCCCCTTCGCTGGCCTGGATGGCAAAGGCGATGAGGCAGATGGCGGCGGCCACCCACATGAGGCACTGCAGGCCCCCGGCTAGCTGCCTCGCGAATTTGACGTACTCTGGGGTGCCCCGTGGCGGCCGCAGCGCATTGGGCCCATCCCGCAGCAGCAGCTCGGCAGCCAGGCTGGCAGACAGGCCCTGAGACAGAGGGGCAGGACAAGGCAGTGCTGGGGGCTTTCCTCCACATGCACACCCTGTGGGAAGCCCCGGCCTTGGTTTCCTTTCCCCAGCTGGGTCTGTCCTGCTCATTCTCATCTCTCTTTGTCTCTTGATTCCTGCCCCTGCCCCATCTCTCCCTCCCTCCTTCATCTCTCCCTTTGTCTCTCTCTCCTCACTCACCTTTCTTTGTCTCTCCTGCTGTCTCTCACTCACCTTTCTATGTCTCTCTCCGTATCTGACTTCTCTGTCTTGCTGTCTCTTTTCATCTACTCCTCTCTCCGTCTCTGTGTCTAGCCCTTTCTCTCTAATGCTATCTCCCTCCCTCCCTCTCTCTTTTTCCCTCCTTCTCTCCTTCCCTCTCTCTCTCCCTCTCTCCTCTCTCCCTCCCTCTGTCTATTTCTCCATATCTTTCCCTCCCCATCTCTCCCTCTCTCTCTCTCTCCCTCTCTCCCTCTCCTTCCCTCTCTCCCTCTCTCTTTCTCCCTCTCTCTCTCCCCCCTCTCTACATCTCCCTTCTTCCATCTCCCTCTCCTTCCCTCTCTCCCCCTCTCCTCTCTGCATGCTCCCAGTCTCCAGCTCACCTTGGTGGCACTGGTCTGGTATTTCTGTTCCAGCTCCGCCACTGACAGCTGGTGGTCGTTCTGTGTGGTGGGGTGGGGCAGGGTGCTTGCTCTGGGCTCTCCTAGCCTCCTCCCCACCCACTGCTCGGTTCCCAGCCCACCCCCCAGCTTCCGCCCCTCCCCAGCAGGAGCTCACAATCTCCATCTCTTTCTTCATGTTCTCCAGCTTCTCCTTCCTCTTGCCACCCCCGCCGCCCGCCTTCTTCTTGCTCATCTTGGCAGCCATGTCCCCGCCGGGGCCAGGGCCCAGCTCCACCGAGTAGAGCTCATAGTTCTCCTGGGGATGGACAGGATAGAGGGAGGGAGGCCTCAGATCCCACTGGAAACCCTGTCCCCACCGCATCCCAGAACCCTGGGCCCCACTCACGGCCTTCCCCATGGTGCCTGGTGCCTGGTGCCTGCGCTCTCACCCTACAGAGCCTGGGCCTGGACCAGCCCTGATATACCTGAGGAGGGCGGGGGGTGGAGCAGAACCGCCCGAGACAGCTGATTACAGGGCTTCTCAGGGTGACCTTCAGGCCTGGGTGCCTCAGGCATTCCCTCCTGGGCTGCACCCCCCGCCGGGCCAGATCCCCCCCCCCCCATGTCAACCTGCCCTGATATCAGGGAGGCCCTGGGACAGCTGCAACAACAAGAAAAGCAAACATAAGGTGCTCATTATGTGCTGGGCATTGTGCTGAGGGCTTCCGTGTGCTCACTTATGTAACCTGCCAACAACCCTTTGAGGGGACAAGACCCCTCACAGATGGGGAAACTGAGGCACGGGGGGGCTGAGTCACTCTCCTGTGGCTCCATCATAGGTTTGAACATGATGGAGTGAGAACCAGATCATCTGGCTGCAGAGTGTCCTCTTTTAGTCTAAATAGCACCAGCCTGATGAACAGGAAGAGGAGGGTGCCTCGATGCTCTTTTTCGTCGTTGTTTTTTTCAGGAATGGAGTCTCACTGTGTTGCCCAGGCTGGAGTGCAGTGGCACAGTCTCAGCTCACTGCAACCTCTGCCTCCCAGGTTCAAGCAATTCTCCTACCTCAGCCTCCCAAGTAGCTGGAATTACAGGTATGCATTACCACTCCTGGCTAATTTTTGTACTTTTAGTAGAGACGAGGTTTCCCCATGTTGGCCTGGCTGTTCTTGAACTCCTGACCTCAGGTGAACCACCCACCTCAGCCTCCCAAAGTGCTCGGATTACAGGCATGAGCCACCGCACCCAGCCATGCTTACAGCACTCTCTGCGGTGGCTGAACATTGACTGAATCCTGAACCCTCACTATGGGCTGCGTATGCTCTGTGTGTCACTCAGATGGTTTCCTTAGCTCCCAGCAGCAGCCCTGTAAAGCGATGTTCTCTTCTTAGCCCCATCAAGGACTTTGCCGAAGACTTCAACATCTAAAACCTAGGGGCAGGGTTCCAACTCGGGCTTGACCCCAGAGCCTGGCTCTTCTATGGCACCACCAATGGAAAAACCCAAACTTCACCTCAGCAGCGCCACACACGTGCCAGGTTCTGCACGTGTGACCTCATGGGTCTTTGCAAAAAAAAAAAACCTTGTGCAGGTGACGCTATCATTCCTGTGGTACAGAGGGGGAAATTGAGACTCAAAGGGACTACTGGAGGGTCTTGGAGGCACTCACACATCCAGCTAGAGCCTTTACAGTCTCAGCCGTTCTGCTGTCCCTACCCCAGATGGGGAAACCAAGGTACTGCGTGTGGAGTGGATGTGTCCAAGGGTCTTGGCTTGAGCTTGGTGCTTGGTGACGGATGCCAGGAGGCCTGGGGACTCCTTCCTCATCCCTCAGGTAGGGACCTCCGTGGGCAGCCGCGAGGGGCTGGCCTGGTGGAATGGTGGGGACCTTGGTATGTTATGGGGTAGGCATGTCTCCAGGAGCAGGTGAGAAGGCGCCTGATAAGATAACTGCCCTGCCAATGTCATTCTCCGCTGGGGCAGGTCACCTGGGAAACAAAGCTGTCGGGCAGCCGCAGCCCCTTCCCACACCCGCACGCTGGTCATCCTCAGCATGCTAGAAGAAACCCGCAAAGAAAAGGCAGCATGGGGCCGCAGTCACACTGTCCTTGCAGTGAGTCCACCTGCTCACCGCGCGCAGGTCAGCTCTTTTGTTTTTCTAGGCAGCGTCTCACTCTGTCACCAGGCTGGAGTGCAGTGGCACACTTTCAGCTCACTGCAACCTCCGACTCCCTGGTTCAAGGGATTCTCCTGCCTCAATCTCCCGAGTAGCTGGGATTACAGGCGCATGCCACCACAGCCAGCTAATTTTTGTATTTTTGGTAGAGATGGGGTTTCACCATGTTGGCCAGGCTGGTCTCAAAGTACTGACCTCAGGTGATCCACCCGCCTTGGCCTCTCGGCGTACTGGGATTATAGGTGTGAGCCACTGTGCCCAACCTTGTGCGCAGGTCAGCTCTGAGCCATGTGTGTCAAATGGCTTGTGTCACTCCTCTGTTTACAACCATTTAAAGACTTCCCTTCCCATTCAGAATAAACCCTGCACTCCTTCCAGCAAGATCTGGCGCTGGTCACCTGCCCTGCCTCAGTCGCTACTAGGTTTCCAGGGGCACTGGCCTCTCTGCTGCACTTTGCACAGACCAAGTTCGTTCCTGCTTCAGGACCTTGGCACTTATAGCTCCTTCTGCTGGGCCCCTTCCTGAGATGTCTGCATTGGCTTTCTCACCTCTCTCAGGTCTCCGCTCAAATGTCGCCTCTTCAGAGAGTCCACTCTGTAATATTGCAGCCCACTGTGTTCTGCTTCTTTTCCCCACTGTATTCACACCTCTTACTCCAACTTGACGCGGAGGTGGGCAGATCACGAGGTCAGGAGTTTGAGACCAGCTTGGCCAATATGGTGAAACCCCGTCTCTACTAAAATAATATAAAAAATTAGCCAGGCATGGTGGAGCCCACCTGTTGTCCTAGTTAACTCAGGAGGCTAAGGCAGGAGAATCACTTGAACCCAGGAGGCAGAGGTTGCAGTGACAAGATTGTGCAACTGTACTCTAGCCTGGGCAACAGAATGAGACTCTCAAAGAACAAACAAACACAAATTAGCTGGACCCACTGGCTCACACCTGTTGTTCCAGCTACTTGGGAGGCTGAGGCAAGAGAATCGCTTGAACCTGAGAGGTGGAGGTGGAGGTTCCAGTGAGCCAAGTTCATGTCCCTGCACTGGGATATATCCTTGTATAGGCGTGAGCCACTATGCCCGCCAGCTTTGTCCATTCTGACCATCCCTGCTCAGGTAGGTTCATGGGTAAATACTTTTACCTACTCCCCTGATTTTGCAGTCTTCAGATACAAGTTCAAACCCAAGTTCTGTGTGTTTGCAGGGAGGGGCTTTGCTTATGCAATTTATTATTTCACCGTGTGTCTAAGCAATACTAAGCCCTGTCTCTGGGAGCTGAACACAGAGACCCTTGTCCATAGGTAGGATCTGGATAAGTTAGGAAGTGTTCCAAGTCTCTTGCACCCTGGAGTGCAGCCTAAGTAGACCACACAATGCCATTTCAGATGGATGGACAACCCCAGCACAACTCCAGGACAAAGAAGCTTCTCACAGGAATGTTGCAAGCATGACACAATCCACAGCACTGCAAGGTCCACCCCTCTTTCTCTGAACCTGGGGCGCACAGAACATTGGGAAGTTCTTTGAGAACAATTAGTGGTCAGACTTGAAAAAAATATTCTTTTCTTGAGAAAGAGGAGGCAAAGGACAAACTATTAAATGGATGGTGGGCCAGGAACAGTGACTTATTCCTCTAATCCCAGCACTGGCAGGCCGAGATGGGCAGATCACTGGTGGTCAGAAGTTCGAGACCAGCCTGGCCAACTACTAAAATATAAAATTCTAGCCAGGTGCAGTGGCTCACGCCTGTAATCCCAACACTTGGAAGGCTGAGGCGGGTGGATCATGAGGTTAGGAGTTCAAGACCAGCCTGGCCAAGATGGTGAGACCCTGTCTCTACTAAAAACAAAAATTAGCTGGGTGTGGTGGCAGGTGCCTGTAATCCCATCTTCTCAGGAGGCTTAGGCAGAGAATTGCTTGAACCTGGGAGGCAGAGTTTGCAGTGAGCCGAGATTGTGCCATTGTGTTCCAGCTTGGGCTACAAAGTGAGATTCTGTCTCAAAAAAAAAAAAAATCTAATAATACAAAACCTCACTGAGTGCACTGGCAGGCACCTGTAGTCCCAGCTACTCAGGAGGCTGAGGTAGGGAAATTATTTAAACTCAGGAGGCAAAGGTTGCAGTGAGCCGAGATTGTACCACTGTACTCCAGCCTGGGCGACAGAACAAAACTCTCAAAAAAGAAAAAAATGTAGATGGTGAATATTATGTAGGTTTGAAGGGGAATTGGAACAATAGTCTCCTAGAACTGTGGCCATATACACACTGTTAGGGACCCAGCGCCCTGTAAACTTTGAAGGGATCAGACCCCTGGCAGACCCTCCTCCCCGTGTTCCCTTTTTCCCTTTCATCCTTTGGGGTCCTGCCCACCAGGCCTTCTGCTTTTCCAAATGATCATTTCAAAACCTCAGCACATGCAATTTCCTCTACCTGAAGTGTGCACCCGACCTCTTCCCCATGTTCAACAGCTCCTCACCTTTCCTGTTAAGCACAGACAATCCTTCCTCCAGGAAGCCTTCTTGGACTACCCACCAGGCTGGGTCAGGCACCTCCCTGGGCATCCACAGACCCCTGAGCCTCCTATCACAGCCCCCACCTGCCTGCCTATGCTTCCCCCATCCCAGTCCTGATGACTCTGACCCCATAATTCCTCCATCACAACCCTGACCACTCTGGGCTGTCAGGGTTGATGACATTTCATCTCCCCCTCCGGATCCATGAGGGCAGGACCCAGGCTGTCTCAGTCCCCACTGTGTGCCCTGCATTGCCTGGCCCGGGCTGGCCTCGGGGAGTGTTTGCCAAGTGACAGAAGTCATTGTGACCGTGACTTTTGTTACAGTGTTTGCGTCTCCCTGATAAGATAATGGGTCCAGCAATGCCCTTCACCTCCTGAGCAGGTCACCCCACCCCCTCGACCCTGGGAGGATGAAAAGAAGGGGCTGGGCATGCAGGGTCCTTGCTTCTGCCTCCTCTCCAGCCTCTCCAGGTGATCAGAATTAGTGGTCAGAATTGAAAAAATTGTCAAGGAGCTGGGGAACACCATCTGGCTCCCAGCCCAGCTAAGCTGGCAGCCAGTCCCCTGTATTCTGTTCCTCTCCCATCTTTGTGCAATGCAGATTGGAAAGGTCAGCCGTCCTGCTGTCCTGGGCTGGGTGCAGAGCCCTTTACTTCTTTTTTGTTGTTGTTTGTTTGAGATGGAGACTCACTCTGTCACCCAGGCTGGGGCGCAATGGTGTGGTCTCGGCTCACTGCAACATCCACCTCCCAGGTTGAAGTGATTCCCCACCCCCAGCTTTCCCCAGTAGCTGGGACTACAGGTGCATGCCACCACACCTGGCTAATTTTTGTATTTCTTTATATACTAAATATTTAATGGGTTCCATCAGCAACTCCAGCAGAAGTTTTCCTGGATGGGAGGCAGAATCAAGCTACCCAAGGGTTCATGATGAGATATGGGGGTCACTGAGGAGACCCCCAGAGTCACTGATCCCCTTCCACACACCAGGTGGCCCCGCAGAATGAGGGTTGGGCTGACAGAATGTCAAGTAGAGGAGAGGTAACATAGGGTGAGGGAACAGGCCCTGGCCTGTACATTTGCCTGCAGGAAGGAGGGAGGGCAGGAGAGACTTTCTGCGTAGGAGTGGAACTACACTTTTAAGTTCTCAGCCCCAATATGTAGGGGGAAACAGCCAAGCCACTCTCTGTCTAGTATTAGGAACCTCTCTTCAAGTGGTCTTCTGTCATCTCTGTTCTTTCTTTCCAATTCTCTATTCCAGGTTCCAAATTCTGCAGCTGAAGCCCAAGTTCTGAATTCTAAGTCCTACCTTCTGAGTTCCTGTTACGTGTCTGTCTCCTCCCCTAAATCCTTCCTGGCTCCCATCCCTTTCCCCAGCCCCTCTGGATGAAATGTCTGGACCTCCTCCTGACCATGCTGATGAGGTGTTTTTTTGTTGTTTTGTTTTGTTTTTGGCGGTTCCAGGCTTCTGTCCAGCAGGAGGGACTTGGCTCAGACTGTCTAGCAAGTGGGTGGTCCAGTGGAGACCAGGGAATTCCTGAGGGCCTGGCCTGGCCTCCTCTCTTCCCACCCCACCTGTAGCCACTGGACATGGTACCCTGTGTGCAAGCTAAATGGAAGATAACTGGGGACTGGTAGCCTTGAGATGAGGAATCTTAGGAGATATAAGAAGGCCTAAAAGATCGCCATCCTTCATTCAGGGAAATTAGAAACTACTTCTAGCAGCGGGAAGGAGGCAGGCAGGGAAGGTGGAAAGGGCGTGGGCAGAGCTGTAAATCCTCAGAACTTGTCTTCCTTCAGTTCCCCTTGTCTGAGCTGAGCACTGCTCCTCAGGGTCTTCTCAGAGCCCAGACAAAACCAAGACAGCAGAACCAGGAGCACCACTGTCTTGGGTTGCCCTGAGGGAGAAGGGGTCAGAGGTGGAGGTGAAGGCAGCATCACTGGAGAGGTGAAATCTTCAAGGGGATCATGATCCGAGACTCCATGTGTTGCACCAGGGAGACTGTATAGTAGACATTTTCATCCCAGCCTCTTCCTTCAGGCAGCGTTTCTAGTCTCCTCCCGAGGCTGCAGGTCTTTATAGACCCAGAGATGGGCACCACGTAGAGCCCTCCTACCTGTGAGAAGAAGCCGCCCACTGCCTCCTGGTTCTCCTGCCGGTACTTGAAGGCCCGAGCCCAGTTGTTCTCAGATCAATCATGGTTCCCGGCTTGAGCTTGTATGTCCTCAGCTCATAGATGTTGGGACCCACTGTGGGCTGTGGCTTGTTCCAGAAGCTGAACTTGAGGAGCAACTGGTTTCTCCTGGACAGCAGCACCTGGCTCCACTCCCTTTGGAACTGCAGGTACTCCTTATTCTTTTTGAGCTTGTTCTTGCAGTCCATGAGGGCTGGGTAGCCACCTGAGAATCACCACAGGTACACTGCCTGGTCCTGCTCCCCATGCCACGTGTTCCCGTTGCCCACAAGTGAGCAGGGGTAGTCCTTGTCCAGGTGCAGCTTGGGCAGCACAGCCGCCATTAGGCTGTTGTAGACGTCTAGGTATCCGTGCATTACACTGTGAAACGATCTTGTAGAGGTTACTAGTTTCCTTTTTGGACAGCAGGGTGGAGTGGGCATCCTTCGGGGATCCACCTTGTGAGCAAAGAGGGAGCGAAACCAGCTGCCTCCATTGTCCTTGGAATAGAAACGCACCACAGCTGCAGCCGCAACATCCTTGGCATGGGGCCCCAGGGTCCCTGCCCTCGTAGCCACCGCACCGCCACCGTGCCGCTACCACACCATACTTCACTATGTTGGCCAGGCTGGCCTCGAACTCTTTTTTGTTGAGACGGAGTCTTGCTCTGTCTCCAGGCTGGAGTGCAGTGGCGTGATCTCAGCTCACTAGAACCTCTGCTTCTCAGGCTCAAGCGATTCTCCTGCTTTAGCCTCCCAGGTAGCTGGGATTGCAGATGCCCACTACCACACCTACTTTTTGTATTTTTAGTAGAGACAGGGTTTCTCCATATGGGTCAGGCTGGTCTTGAACTCCTGACCTCTGGTGATCTGCCCACCTCAGCTTTCCAAGTTCTGGGATTATAGGTGTAAGCCACTGTGCCCAGCCCTTTAAAAAAAAAAAAAAAAAAAAAGATAAGGTCTCACTCTATCACCACGCTGGAGTTCAATGGTGCAATCATGGCTCACTGCAGCCTCAAATTCCTGGGCTCAAGCAGTCCTCCCACTTCAGTCTCCCAAGTAGCTGGGACTACAAGCATGCACCACTACACCCAGCTAATATATATATTTTTTAAGACAGGGTCTTGCTATGTTGCCCAGGCTGGTCTCAGCTGGTCTCAAAAGATCCTCCCACCTTGGGCCCCCAAAGTGCTGGGATTGCCCCATTAACAGGAAGTACTGGGAATACTCAACCCACAATAATGTTCATCTTTGTTGTGGGAAAAGAACTCTGCAGTGTCCTCACTGGCCCCTGTAATATCCTTGCTGGCCCTATAACACCCTCAAAGTACCCTGTTGGCTTCTTTTTTTATATTTTTTATTTTTTGAGACGGAGTCTCACTCTGTCACCCAGGCTGGAGTGCAGTGGTATGATATTAGCTCACAGCAACCTCCACCTCCCAGGTTTGGATCCTCCCACCTCAGCCTCTCGAGTAGCTGGGATTACAGGTGTGTGCCAGCCACTATGCCCAGCTAATTTTTGTATTTTTAGTATAGAGAGGGTTCTACCATGTTGTCTAGGCTGGTCTCAAACTCCGGACCTCAAGTGATCCACCTGCCTTGGTCTCCCAAAGTGCTGGGATTACAGGTGTGAGCCACTGTGCCTGGCCAATTATAATGTAAATGTTATGGAGGCAAATACCTCATCTGTCTGAAACAGCGTTAAACCACTAAGGCTTAAAACAGTGCCTCTCACTATTAACCAATAAATGTTCATCAAATATGTGAAAGTCCCATGGTACCTGGCAAGGTGGACACACAGGAGACATGAACATGTGGGCACACATACATGCATGCAGCAGATGAATCAGAAAATGGAAACTTCCTCATAATCTTTACTGCTCTTAAAAATACTGATGGAGGGGAGACTTCCCCCAGCACAGGCAGTTACTGTTGTCCTAGTTCAAATGCTCCAGGAGGAACAGTCCATTAGTCACTGAGGTTTTCATATTTTCTGTTTCAAGCTTCTGATTACAGTGGAGCAAAGGATCACAATGCAGCCCACCAGGATGCTGGAGATACTGAAGCCCAAAGCCAGTCTGGAATTTATCCATGCTTTTCTTTGATTCCCAAGGAAATTGGCTTCCCGGGTCTGTGGGAGTAAAGGCAAACTGGTGTGAATGTTTCCAAAATGTGAAAGTGGAGGGAAATCCCTGGGGAGAGGCAAAGAGGGCAAGATCAGGATGGTGGCATAAGGGAGGTCAGGGCAGGGTTCAGTCCCCCAGGGGAAAAAGGAAGAAACCAGGGAGCCAGGATAAGGGAGTAGATCTGGGTGGCCCTGGAGAGGGGCAAGGGCAAGCAGATGGCGAAAAGGGAGGAGGCAAATCCCCGAGAAACACGAGGAGGTCCCTGCGGCGGGAAAGACAAGGCAGATCTGGGGACAAAGAGAGTTTGTGGTAGCTGGGTGGTGCCCACCTTGAGAGAGAACACCAGAGCGGGGATTGCCAGCAGGATGTAGAAGAAGAAGGATATGATGGCTAGCAGCAGATAATCTCTTTCTGGAGGATGCAAGGGCATCAGAACAACTGGCTGCATCGGGGCGAGCGGCTGCATGGGGATGAAAGGCTGCCCAGGGATGAACTGCGGCATCGGGGTGACAGAGGACTTCAAGTCCCTGGGGCTTGTCACAGTAGCCATAGGCCTTGGCACAAGGAAGAGATGCTGGGTAAGTAGAATCGGCAGACAGGGGTCATGGGGTCGGGGAAGGGGACATCTGAGTCCCCAAGCAATTGGGACCACCCAAACCAAGCCCTCTAGCTAGAAAAGTACTAAAAGCTGACACTGCCCCAAGCCAGGGGACAGTGCCCCAAGCCAGAACCCACCACAGCCCCGTGCTCCCTTAGAGTAGCCTTGGTGGCTCCGGAACACCCATGCAGCCCTTCTCTAGCCTCTTACAATCCACCCCCTGCTCCCCTCTGTTTGTTCCACTTTCCTCCTCTAAACCCTCCCTATCCCTCCTTACCCCCAAGCTCACACACCCCTACTGTTTACTGAGAACTCAGCACAAACCTAGACAATATCCCTAGGACTTCCCTTCACTCCTCAGTATCTGAGGCGGCTTTGTTGATTTCAGTCACAGGGCGTGGCCGCTATAGGCCACTCCTTCATTATGATTGGCTACTCCTTTATGGGTGTGGCTCCAGTGCTTCAATCTGGCTTCTGATTGGTTCCATATGTGTAAGGGGCGTGGCCCAGCCACTTCTCTTTCTTCCTGCCCTCAGAATTGATTCGGTGAATAAGGGGACTGGGTTGTAGTGACTTCTCCTTTTTAAATTTTTTCTAGCTTTTATTTCCCTTTTTTTCTTTTTTCCCTTAGAGACAGGGTCTCTAAGGTAATCCAGATTGGAATGCAGTGGTGCAATCATAGCTCTCTGCAGCCTCAACCTCCTGGGCTCAAATGATTCTCCTGCTTCAGTCTCTACAGTAACTAGGACCACAAGTATACGCCACCACACCTGGCTAATTTTTTATTTTTTATAGAGGTCTCACTATGTTGCCCAGTCTGGTCTTGAACGCCTGGCCTCAAGCAATCCTCCTACCTCAGCTTCCCAAAGTGTTGGGATTATAGGCTTGAATCACTGTGCCCGGCCATTCCTCCTGTGATATAGCTGGCCTAGAATTAGAACCAGTACAATGCCATTTTAAAATGGGAAAACTGTTTCCATTCTCCTCACAATGACTGCTAGCCATGGCTTCTGTAAACTACTAAGATTACCTTGCAAAATATAAAGAGAGGACAAGCTCCATACTTTCTCTTATCTGTAACTGCCAGAATTGCTGGCCTCTGTTTACCAAAGTAAGCACCCCCAGATAATTCCATCCTGGCGCCAAGTAACCTAAAATTATATGGACCCCACACCTGCCCAAATAATGTATAAACTAATGTTTACCTTGACCTCTGTAAACCACTTAAGTGGCAATCGGAATGACAAAAGTCCCCTGGTCCTTGGAATATCTGGAGCCCCTCACCCTCCTCTCAGCCTAGGAGGTGATTGACAGCTTTCATTCCCATCTCCGTTCCTCACCCGCACTCCCAAGGTGGTTTTGTGGGTATAAAAAGGTCTAGTCACTCTTCTTTCTCTGCCACGGGTTGGAGAGACGTGAGTCCTCCGTGGTCGCCGGCAATAAACCCTGTAATTTGGCATTCTTTTGTTCTGGTGTTGACTTTCTGTGCTGAGTGTGATATAACACTCCTTTTTATTGTTGTTGCCAGTTTGAACTCCTCATCAGTTTAATATAGTGTGTGTGGATCTCACATCCAGATTGCATATAAGTGTAATGGACAGATTTATCACTATTAGGGAGGTTACTGTACATTAGGCCCAGGCTGGCCCCTGAGGACCACATGGTAACTAAGGCAGACAAGACCCTAGCTCTCCTGGAATTCCAGGGAGACAAAGAAGAAAAACACCCAATTAAATAATGGAAATAGAAATTACTATTATCTGATATAATTATATTATGATATATTTTATTACATGTTATTATAATACAATTTTTTAATTGTACTTTGGGCTCTGGGGTACATGTGCACATTCTGCATCCTGCAGGATTGTTGCATAAGTACATACATGCCACATTCCCCCCAACCCCCCATCGCCTACATCAGGCATTTCTCCCAATGTTATCCCTCCCCATCTGCCCCGCCCCCTGCTGTCCCTCTCCTCCCCTCCCCTCCCCTCCGCCTCCCCATCTCACCCAGTGAGTGTTGTTCCCTTCCCAGTGCCCAAGTGTTCTCACTGTTCATCACCCACCTATGAGTGAAAACATGGTGTTTGGTTTTCTGTTCTTGTGTCCATTTGCTGAGAATGATGGTTTCTAGATTCATCCATATCTCTACAAAGAACACAAACTCGTCATTTTTTATGGCTGCATAGTATTCCAAGGTGTATATGTGCCACATTTTCTTTGTCCAGTCTATCATTGATGGGCATTTGGGTGGATGACCAAGTCTTTGCTATTGTAAACAGTGCCGGAACGAACATATGTGTGCCTGTGTCTTTATAATAGAATGCTTTATAATCCTTTGGGTATATTCCCAGTTATGGGATTGCTGGGTCAAATGGAATTTCTATTTCTAGATCCTTGAGGAATCGCCACACTGTCTTCCATAATGGTTGAACTAATTTACACTCCCACCAACAGTGTAAGTGTTCCTTTTTCTCCACATCCTCTCCAGCATCTGTTGTCTCCAGATTTTTTAATGATCGCCAAACTGGCATGAGATGGTATCTCAATATGGTTTTCATTTGCATTTCTCTAACGACCAGTGCTGATGAGCATTTTTTCATGTTTGTTTGTTGCACCTGGGAATCTATTAAAAATACAAATTATTGAGCTCCACCCCAGACCTACTGAATATGAAACTATAGTGGTGATGCCCAGCCATCTGTGTTTTAACAAGCCCTCCACATAATTCTGATGCAAATTAAAGTTTGAGAACAACTGGGCCAGAGGAATGAATGGGAAAGAGCAGAAGTGGCCAGTTCCCCCTAAAAGCCTCACTCTAACCTCTGGGCTTTGTCTTCAGGAGGTGTGTCCTCCAATCCTCTCAACACCTGAAACCTCACCCAACCTTCACTTCTTCTGTCTTCCCCCACCTCGGCGCCCCATGTTTTGCTCTGGAATATCCACTTGGCCCTTTGAAAGGCTCTGAACCAATTTCCTCCATGAATATCTTGACTTCTGGATTGCATGTGTTGTCACTGTTCTTCTGACTACTTCTAGGTTTAGGACTGGCCTTACGTACACAGGTTATGTCTTGGACGAGCCATACTGAGGTCTACATTTGTGGACTGCACAGTGTCACCTCCCACCCACTCCCAACTTCCTGAGAAGTGGCTCCTCAAACCTTCTACTCCACTAGAACCATAAGCTAAAGGAAGCACCAGCTAAAACCCCACCATATTAGTATTCATTAAAAGCTCCTACCTGAATCAGTGATTACTATGGTGTTTAGAAACATTAGAAAATGTTTTCTAATGGTGCATAACAAATTCCCACACTGTTATTAACTCGTAGTTCTGTAGGTCAGAATGGCTGCTCTTCTGCTCAGAATCTACCAAGGCTAAAATTAAGGTGTCTGCTATGCTGGGTTCTCATGTGGAGCTCAGTATCTTCTTCCAAATGAATGTGATTACGGCAGGATTCACATCCTTGCTGTTGCAGTACTAAAGACCCCGTTTCCTTGCTGGCTGTCAGCTGGGAGCCATTCTCAGCCAGAGGCTGCCTGCATTCCTCCCTACATAGTCCGGGTACCATCTTCACATCAGCAGTGGAGACCTTTCCTTGCCTCCAATCCTCTCAACACCTGAAACCTCTTTTGCCAGAAAGACTCAGTCCCTTTCAAGAACTCACCTCATTTCAAGAACTCTGTTGCCCAGGCTGGAGTGCAGTGGTACAATCGGCTCACAGCAATCTCTGCCTCCCAGGTTCCAACAATTCTCCTGCCTCAGCTTCCCAAGTAGCTGGGATTAACAGGTGTGGGCCACAATGTCCAGCTCATTTTTGTATTTTTAGTAGAGACAGTTTTCGCCATGTTGGCCAGGCTGGTCTCGAACACCTAACCTCATTAGGTGATGCCCCTAGAGGATATTTTCCCTAACTTTAAGTTAACTGATTTCAGACCCTAATTGCATCTGCAAGACGCCTTCCTGGAAGCCTACAGACTAGTACTTGACTGAGTAACTGGAGGAGTGGGTACACCAGGGAGCAGTAATCTTGGGGTCACTTCAGAGTTCTGCCTACCATACGGGGGATTTCCTGTTCCATCGTTCCATTAGGTGATGTTCTACTTTAAGACCTTTCCCCTTTCACTGAACTTCTTTCTCTATTCTTTCCTTTCTTCTGTCAGCATAGACCAAAGAATTCTTTTTTTTTTTTTTTTTTTGAGACAGTCTGTCGCCCGGGTTGCAGTGCAGTGGTGCAATCTCAGCTCACTGCAACCTCTGCCTCTCGGGTTCAAGCGATTCTGCTGCCTCAGTCTCCCTAGTAGCTGGGATTACAGGTGCCCGCCACCACGCCCAGCTAATTTTTGTGTTTTTAGTAGAGACGGGGTTTCACCATATTGGCCAAGCTGGTCTCGAACTCCTGACCACAGGCAATCCGCCCTCTTCGGCCTCCCAAAGCGTTGGGACTACAGGCATGGGCCACGGCACCGGACCGGAATTCATCTTTAATTCAAGACTTTACAATCCACTGACATTACTCATTTTGCTCCCCTCGGTAAATCTCTCTCTTACTGGGCTTGTCTAGTTCCTCTCTTCTGCAGCTTCTGGTAGACCCTCCTGGCACCACCCACGCGCAAGGACTGCAGAGAGAGATCAGTGGGAGGAGGAGGAGCCTAGAGCGGCCACTTAGGCTTCCAACCAGTCCCTACCAGGGTGGGCGGATCCCACATCCTGATTGGCTCCAGGCTCTGAGTCCTGGGGCTGCTGAGAATGGCGGAGCCACGCCCCCTAACGAGGCAGCCAATCAGGACGTGGGGTTCTGATTTCTCCATTGTGAAGCTCCGGCCTTTGTCGGTTTGGGACCTGGGATTCTGGTTAGCACAAAGGGAAGCCTAGTGGGTCTGGCGCTTCCTTTTCAAGGCACTTGGAGTCCGTCTTTGTGTTAGGGGAAAGGTCATGGCCCGGAAAACTCCTCCTGCCGCCCAGCCTGCTCCTGACGCGCCAGCTGCCCCAGGCACCCCAGGTGCTCCAGGCGACCCCGCTGCCCCTGATGCCCCCGCTGCTGCAAATGCTCCAGCTGCTCCAGGTGTTCCAGGTGCTCCAGCTGCCCCGGGTGCTCCAGCTGCCCCGGGTGCTCCAGCTGCCCCAGGTGCCCCAGCTGAGGCGCCACAAAAGCCTACACAGACACCAGAGGAACTAGCGTTTTATGCCCCAAACCACATATGTTTGACCGTCTTGGCTGTATTTTTATTCCCTCCGCTTGGACTTGCAGCTGTGTACTTCTCTTACCAGGTAAAATAATCCCCAAGTTATAGCCTCTGTCCTTTTTTGTTTTTGTTTTTGAAACCCAGTCTCACTCTGTCGCCCAGGCTGGAGTGCAGTGGTGCAATCTCAGCTCATAGCAATCTCTGCCTCCCGAGTTCCAACGATTCTCCTGCCTCAGCTTCCCAAGTAGCTGGGATTAACAGGTGCGGACCACAATGCCAGGCTTATTTTTGTATTTTTAGTAGAGACGGGTTTCCCCATGTTGGCCAGGCAGGTCTCGAACTCCTGACCTCAGGTGATCCACCCGCCTCGGTCTCCCAAAGTGCTGAGATTACAGGAGTAGGCCACCGCACCCGGCCTGCCCTGTCCTCCATTTGGCCCCGGCATCTGCTCCCGTCCTGGGACCTGCGTAGGGGCTTTCCCTCAGTGACTACAGGTCTCCAACTCTTCTGCCCCCGGTTTCTGGACTCAGAAACCCACATCTATGCTTCCACCCTTGCAGACTACGAAGGCCAACCAGAACAGCGAATGGGAAGAAGCTTACGCCAACTCAGGCCGAACTGGTTGGCTGGGTGCATTCGCAGTAATGATCGGCTTAGGCATCATTTATGGCTTGGTCCTATATTATTGAAGGCCAGGCATAGTAACCCAGGGGTCCGCTCCCCAACCAAGCCACCCACCAAAAGACTAACCAGCCAAGTCAGCCACCAAGCAAGAAACTCAACCGCTGAGACATCTTCTAGCCAAGAAACCCTCCAACCAAGGAACTCAACATTCAAGAAACCTACCAGCTCAGGAACACCCAGACCGCCTGCCTGTACTGCTTCTACTCACTCGGCTCCCGAGCTGTCTTTATCCACCCTAGGGGTTCCACACTAAATGCCCTAGATCCCTTTAGCTCCTTGACACTGGGCTGTTCTTCCAGAGAATCTTGAAACCAAAAAAACTGGAATGGAATGTTTTGGTTTCTCGTGTGTGTGTGTGTGTGTGTGTGTGTGTGTGTGTGTGCGTGTACATGCCCATGATTGTTTTCTGGGTCAGCGGTCAGTATTGTGTTTCCCTCCAGCTGTTTCCTAGACTGTGAAAATCAGGTTGTCTTAATGAGGAAGCCCACAGACATAGAATTCAGGCAGATGTGGGTTAAAAACTTACCACTGAAACTGAAAAGCTGTATAGCCCTGAACAGATACTTTTCCCGAGCATAGTTCCTTTGTCTGTAAAGCAGGCCTAATTGCCAATGATATTATGGGATGATATTTGGAAATCTGAAATCAGTTGTATTCTCTAGGCATCTTCGTATTTCAGCTGGAATTGGAGATGTCTAGTGTCTCAGAGCAGCAATAAGAAAACAGAAACCTCTTCCAGCTTCTGATATCCAAATGTCAAGCTCTTAGGGGAAGAATGGAAAGTCCTCAAGAAACACAAATAGCTTTGGCACAATAGCTGATGAAGACCACCTCTCCCTCACTCCAGAAAGGCATTGGTTCCCCACTCATGGAAAAGGGGATATAGAGATTAGATAATAGTACATCCACAAGGAGACCCCTGGAACCTGCATCTGAGAAAGAGGGGTGTCAGAGACCCCAGCTATTACCTGTATTCTCTCCTCTCAGATAAGACCTAGAAAAGTTCCAAGTTCTCAAATATGCTCAGATATGCTATATGTTGGAGACATTTACAAAGAAATGACCTCAGACAGCCAAGGATGATAACCCATGGCCCAGCCTGGTGAAAAGAAGGGGGTTACATAGGAATTCCAAGTGCCAGGTGGAGAGAGAACTACAGAGGAAAATAGGGATAAGCAGGGAGCCATCCTTCATGATTCAAAACAGAGATCTAGACTGACACCATGGGCTGGGATTACACATGTGAGCCACCGCGCCCGGCAACACATGGCTTTCTAAATCATCACATGGATATCACTTGTCCTGTTGGCTGGGGGAGGAGGAGCTTACAGGAGTGTCCCAGAAGACGTTGAAAAGCCAGATTTGCTTGTGGTATATGTCAGTTCTGCTCATATTCCACAGGACCAAAGCGCATTTCATGGACACCCAGGGGCTGCTTTCAATGCCCATGCTTCATAGACAACCCCAAGTTCAGAATCAGGTTAATATTTAGCACAATATTTAGCAGAATTAAGTTCACACCACCATAGAGAATAGGGATTCTCAGTAGAAATTCAGTGGAGCTGCTGGGGAAGAGACTGCTCACTCTCCCCCAGGGCCCATCGCTTCTTTGTCCTGAGAACATTGCTTGGCCACATCTCAGAGGTTCCCCTCTGCAGCCATGAAATGTGCTTTGGTCCTGTGGAATATGAGCAGAACTGACATATACCACAAGCAAATCTGGCTTTTCAACATCTTCTGGGACACTCCTGTAAGCTCCTCCTCCCCCAGCCAACAGGACAAGTGATATCCATGTGATGATTTAGAAAGCCATGTGTTGCTGGGCACGGTGGCTCACATGTGTAATCCCAGCACTTTGGGAGGCCAAGGCAGGCAGATCACCTGAGGCTGGGAGTTCGAGACCAGCCTGTCCAACATGGAGAAACCCCATCTCTACTAAAAATGCAAAATTAGGCGGGCATGGTGGCACGTGCCTATAATCCCAGCTACTCAGGAGGCTGAGGCAGGAGAATCACTTTAATCTGGAAGGTGGAGGTTGTGGCGAGCCAAGATAGCACCATTGCACTCCAACCTGGGCAAAAAGAGCGAAGCTCCGTATAAAAAAAAGTAAATAAATAAATAAAAATACAAAATTTAGCTGGGCATGATGGTGCATGCCTGTAATCCCAGCTACTTGGGAGGCTGAGGCACGAGAATCACTTGAACCAGGAGGCAGAGGTTGTGGTGAGCCAAGATCACACCATTGCACTCCAGTCTGGGCAACAAGAGTGAAACTCCGTCTCAAAAAAAAAAAAAGAATAAGGCCACATGTTGCAGACATGGCAGAGCCCCCACTAGCCTATTAGCCTGGATCCCTGAATCATTCTAGGAACAGTCTCCTTCCCCCAACTGCCTCATGAGGTCAAGCAGAAAATAGACTACCATGTTGACATGACATGCTTGGCCCAATCCACCTGAACCAGTGCAGGTGCAAGAGAATAGAGGTCTATTCTTTGCACATCTGGGATTATAGCTTCAAGTTCACACCCAACAGAGACATCAGTCTTGCTGGGTGGTTTACAGGAAATAATAATAGAAGGAAATAACAAAGGTTTTAGTCCACCTTAATTCTAACCGTTGTGATGCTGCGTCTTTCTCCTCTGTGGGCCTGGGTGTCTGGGCAGATCCCGTGTGTTTGTGGGGCAATGCTCCATGTTATAGGGATGCCTGGAGACAGGATGATGCCTAGTTGTCTGTCATGTTAGTGGATCAAATTTTATTTTTCCAATTGAATATCCAATCAAGAAAAAACATTAGGGCCGGGCGCAGTGGCTCACACCTATAATCCCAGCACTTTGGGAGGCCGAGGTGGGTGGATCACTAGGTCAAGAGATCGAGACCATCCTGGTCAACATGGTGAAACCCCATCTCTACTAAAAATACAAAAAAATTAACTGGGCACGGTGGTGCGTGCCTGTAATCCCAGCTACTCAGGAGGCTGAGGCAGGAGAATTGCCTGAACCCAGGAGGCGGAGGTTGCGGTGAGCCGAGATCACGCCATTGCACTCCAGCCTGGGTAACGAGCGAAACTCCATCTCAAAAAAAAAAGAAAAAGAAAAAACATTAATTTGTCCATCCTTTCCCTTGACTTTAAATACCACCTTTACTGTATACAAAATGTTCACATTAATGTGTGACTGCGCCTAGACTTTATTTCTGATCCAAAATCAATTTTGCATTACTACTGTTTTATAGCTTTATTTGTTTTCTGATTGGTTAGGTCTTCTCTCATTTCTCAAAGATTTCTTAGGAACTTACATGTATTTTATTCTCTAGATGAGCCCTAGAATCTACTTGCCAAGTTCTGTCTTTAAGATCTTATCTGGCCAGGCGCAATGGCTCATGCCTTTAATCCTAGCACTTTGAGAGGCAAAAGCAGGCGGATCATCTTAGGTCAAGAGTTCGAGACCAGCCTGGCCAACATGGTGAAACCCCATCTCTACTAAAAATACAAAAATTAGCTGGGTGTGGTGGTGCGTGCCTGTAATCCTAGCTACTCAGGAGGCTGAAGCGAGAGAATCACTGGCTGGGCGTGGTGGCTCACTCCTATAATCTCAGCATTTTGGGAGGCTGAGGCGGGTGGATCATTTGAGGTCAGGAGTTTGAGACCAGCCTGGCCAACATTGTGAAACCCTGTCTTTACTAAAAATACAAAAATTAGCCACGTGTGGTGGTGCATGCCTGTAACCCCAGCTACTTGGGAGGCTGAGGCAGGAGAATCACCTGAACCCTGGAGGCAGAGGTTGCAGTGAGCCGAGATCATGCCATTGCACTCCAGCCTGGGCAATAAGAGCAAAACTCCATCTCAAAAAAAAAAAAAAAAAAAGAATAACTATAATAAATTTAAATACACTAAATATATGATATACTTAATGGTGAAGAACAGAATACTTTACCTCTAAATTCAAGAACAAGAAAAGGATGTCTGCTCTTGACACTCCTATTTGACATAGTGCTGGAAGTGCTAGTCACTGCAAGAAGAAAAGGCATACAGAGCCCAGCACAGGGGATCACGTCTGTTATCCTAACACTTTGGGAGGCTGAGGCAGGAGGATCACTTGAGGCCCGGAGGTCAAGACCAGCCTGGGCAACACAGTAAGACCCCATCTCTACAAAAAATATGTAAAAATTAGCCAAGCATGGTGGCATGAGCTTATAATCATAGCTACTCAGGGGGCTGAGGCAGGGAAATCACTTGAGCCCGGGACTCTGAGGCTGCCATGAGTTTTGATCAGACCACACTGCACTCCAGCCTGAGGAACAGTGTGAGACCCTATCTCAAAAAAGAAAAAAAGCACATAGATTGGAAAGGAAGACATAGAAGTATCTCTATCTACAGGTGACATGAGATATATATACGTGTGTGTGTGTGTGTGTGTGTGTGTGTGTGTGTGTGTGTGTAGTTGATGCAAAAATGATTGCAGCATTTGCCATCAAAATTAGTGATGGCCAGGCACGGTGGCTCATGTCTATAATCCCCGTACTTTGGAAGGGACTTTTTTTGGGGGGGGGGACAGAGTCTCACTCTGTCGCCCAGGCTGGAGTACAGTGGCATGATCTCGGCTCACTGCAACCTCCGCCTCCTGGGTTCAATGATTCTCCTGCCTCAGCCTCCCAAGTAGCTGGGATTACCGGTACCTGCCACCATGCCCAGCTAATTTTTGTATTTTTAGTAAAGACAGGGTTTTACCATGTTAGCCATGCTGGTATTAAACTCTTGACCTCAAGTGATCCACGTGCCTCGGCCTCCCAAAATGCTGGGATTATAGGCATGAACCATCACACCTGGACTGCTTTGTTTTTTGAGACAAGGTCTTTATCTGTCACCCAGGCTGGAATGCAGTGGCATAATCACAGCTCACTGCAGGCTCAAATTCCTGCGCTCAAGCCATCCTCCCACCTCAGCCTCCCAAGAAGCTGGGACTACAGGCGGACACCACCATGGCTGGCTAATTTCTTTTTCTTGTGTAAAGATGGGGTCTCGCTATGTTGCCCAGGCTGGTCTCGACCTCCTGAGCTCAAACAATCCTCCCACCTGGGTCTCCCAAAGTGCTGGGATTATAGGTGTGAGCCATGTGCCCAACCAATTATTATTGTTTTAAGAGTTATTTATGTATTTTAGATATTTTAGATACTCCTTTATAAGTGTTTTGCGAATATTTTCTCCTAGTCTATGACTTGTCTTTCCATTCTTGTTTTTTTTTTTCCTTTTCAGACAGGGTCTTACTCTGTTGCCCAGGCTGGAGTGCAGTGGCATGATCCTAGTTCACTGTAGCTCTCAACTCCTGGGCTCAAACGGTCTTCCCTCATCAGCCTCCCAAGTAACTGGACCACCAGCACATGCTACCACACCCACCTAACTTAAACAAATTTTTTTTTAGAGATGGGGTCTCTCTATGTTCTTCCGACTGGTTTCAAACTCCAGTCTCCAGCAATCCTCCCACCTCAGCCTGCCAAAGCGCTGGGATTACAGGTACAGGCCACTGCACCCGACCTCATTCTCTTAATATGTTTTAAAGGTCTCAAACATGTTCAGAGCCCCCTGAAAAGCTCAAAGACCCATGGCAGATGTGGTATCTAATTGGTTTTTTTTTTTAATAGCAAAAAAAATCTCCACACAGATAGAAGAATGGGCATGATTGGGGCAAATGACAGCTGTGAATAAACCAGACATCCGGGAGTCACAGCTGCCAATCTTTCCTCCAAGAAGCCCACCTGAATTGCATCAGCCCATGGCACTCTCTTCTGCCTCTCAGTCCTCAAGAGGTGTCTGAAGCTGGCTTCAGCTTTTCCTGCAGACCTATCTCAGTGGTGATCATGGTCCCCTGGGCCAGAGACCTGAGCCACCCCTTGGATGTCTCTCTGGCTCCTCATACTCCTGAGGCTCCATGCTGTCCTCAGGATCTCTCCCAAAACAGCTTTTCCTCACACGTCCCTGTTTCAAAGTCTGCCCCATCCAATCCCCAGGCCAGGAGCCCTGAGCCTCACCCTGAATCCCCTCCCTCCCTGCAGTCCATCAGACTATGACCCATTTACTTGGCCTCCTCCTCCCTGCCCAAGAGCCCCACCCTGCCCCAGCACTGTCCTCACCCTTCACCCCTTATCTTACTCCAGTCTCCTCCCTGGGTACCAAGCTCTAGTCTCACCCCATCATCTTTCCCCCACTTGCTGACTCAACAACTGTTTATTTATTTATGAGACAGAATCTCACTGTGTCACCCAGGCTGGAGTGTAGTGGCATGACCTCAGCTCACTGCAACCTCTACCTCCTGGGTTCAAGCGATTCTCCTGCCTCAGCCTCCCAAGTAGCTGGGACTATAAGCGCAAGTCACCATGTCTAGAGGATTTTATTTTTAGTAGACAAACAGTTTCACCATGTTGGCCAGGCTGGTCTCGAACTCCTGACCTCAAATGATTCACCCACCTCAGCCTCCCAAAGTGCTAGGATTACAGGCATGAGCCACCACGCCCAGCCTAATTCAACAACTATTTCAAACGCCAAGCTCTGAACTGGACACTGAGGATAAAGTGGTGACCTAGGCAAGCATGTTGAATGAAAGGTCCCTAAAATGCTGCATTCCTCAGGGCCGGGTCTAAGCCCGCATCTTCCTCTGCTCTGGGTCTCACACCCAGTGCTTCCAGGTCTCTGTCCTAGCCCAATGAGCTCTCCAGAACTCTAGCCCTACTGCTTTCTGGGGCATCCCACAGACCTCTCACACCTGTGGTGTCCCAAATTGACCCACCCCTGCTCCTTATTTTTACCACCCCTACCTGGTGGTGTGCCAATCTCCCCACTGAACTGTGAGCTTCATATAATAGGGACCAGGGCTGTCTTGGTCACTGTGGTGTCCCCAGGATCACCCAGCACAGGGTCAGCTCCCTGAGTTTATGGAATGGTAAACACGAATGAATGAGAAAATGGATGTCAGGGAAATGTTAGGGTCATGCTATCTGCCCCTACCTTCCACCCAGACTGGGAAACCTGTTTGTTTTCTTTTCTTTTTTTTTTTTTTTAAGATGGGGTTTCACCATGATGGCCAGGCTGGTCTTGAACTCCTGACCTCAGGTGATCCACCCATCTCGGCCTACCAGAGTGCTAGGATTACAGGCGTGAGCCACTGCGCCTGGCCAGGGAAACCTGTTTCTGAAATCAAAGAGCAGTAAATCCAGGTTCTCATCGCCTGGTTCCAGTCCTCCTAGGATTCAAGTGCTACTTTGTCAAGAAAATAAAGAGTGGGGGGCGCAGAGGCTCACGCCTGTAATCCCAACACTTTGGAAGGCAGAGGCGGGATGATCGCTTGAGCTCAGGAGTTCAAGAGCCCAGAAGTTGAGACTAGCCTGGGCAACACTGGTGAGATCCCATTTCTACTAAAATAAAAATGTTTAATTAAAAGAAGAAAAAGAAAAGAAAGAGAAGTGCCCGGGCGCGATGGCTCACGCCTGTAATCCTAGCATTTTGGGAGGTCGAGGTGGTTGGATTGCCTGAGCTCAAGAGTTCGAGACCAGCCTGGGCAACACAGTGAAACCCCGTCTCTACTAAAATACAAAAAATCAGCCGGGCATGGCGGTCCGCTTGCAATCCCAGCTATTCGGGAGGCTGAGACAGGAGAATCACTTGAACCTTGGGGCGAAGGTTGGAGCGGAGATCGCGCCACTGCACTCCAGCCTGGGCAAAAAAGAAAAGAAAGGGAAGCATCAAGGACTGTTTTCCCTCTTCCGGGTTAGCTGGTAGACAGCGGGAGAACGAGGAAAGGTGAGCGGGGCCGCCATCTCTCCACGCCCTTTTCACTTCTACTCAAAGAGACCCACCTGGGAAAAGCGAGAGCTGCAAGATCCAGCCTTTCCGCACCAAGACTTTGTAGCTCACGGGCCTGCAGTTACCCGGCAACCGATGACGTCACTGATGGCGCGTTCGTGACGTCAGATGAGGGCGCCACACTTGAAGACGCTGAGAGAGGCGGTGGCGGTGGCACCGCCGCTGCGCTGTCATGGAGCTAGCACAGGAAGCGCGGGAACTGGGTTGCTGGGCGGCTGAAGAGATGGGGGTGCCCGTGGCGTCCCGAGCCCCGGAATCGACGCTGCGCAGGTGAGGATCCCTCCTGGAGTGAGGACTCCCCACCCTGGAGATTGAGTCTCCGGAAGAACTCGACCCCTCATTCTCCATCGAGAGGGACCCGAGTTACTGAGTGCTCCCCACCCTGGGAGGCTCCCCAGGGTGAGGTCCCTGGCACTGGTGAGGATTCTCCACGAGTTACCGAAGACCCCTCTCTGTGTGGAAATAGGATGTCCAGGGTGAGGCTGTCCCCGCAGCACCTCCCCTTCCCACCCTTACCCTAACCAAGGAGGACATTCAGGAGTTAGCCGTGGCCACCCTATTGGGGATTGACTCTATAGGAGTGATGCCCACACCTGATCATGAGAACGCACTTCCTGGCAGTACATCCCCCACCTCCACCTCTGGATGTGACTGGATAACCCTCTCCCAGGAGAAAGGGAGCATGGCCGCCCTCTCCCCGCTCCTGCCCCCGGAATACCACCACACTTAGTGCAAAGATCCAGTCCCTACCAAAAAAAAAAAAAGTTTTACCAATTAGCTGTTGTAGTGGTGCCTGCCTGTAGTCCTACCTACTCTGGAGGCTGACGTGGGAGCATCACATGAGCCCAGGAGGTTGAGGCTGCAGTGCGTTATGATCGTACCGCTGCACTCCAGCCTGGGCAACAGAGCAAGACCCTGCCTCTTAAAAAGAAAAAAAGAAAAAAAAAAAGTATGGGCCTTCCCTCCTCTAGAAATGAGAACTCCCTAGTAGGGAAATGAGACTTTCCCTACTACCATGAGAATGAGGATCCGGCACCCTGCGTGCTGCCCCAGGCATATGCTTACACACTGTCCCCACAGGCTGTGTCTGGGCCAGGGGGCTGACATCTGGGCCTACATCATGCAGCATGTGCACAGTCAGAGGTAAGCTGGGCTGGAGCAGGGGAGGGGGCACCAGCGAGGCCCACAGTAACTCCTCCTTCTGCCTCTGCACTATAGGACTGTCAAGAAGATCCGGGGAAACCTACTCTGGTAACTGCTTCTTAGAGCTATCCCTTCCTATCTTCCCCACTGCCATCAACCCCTGTCCCTACCATGCTGTCACACTTCTTGCCATCCCCCCTGCAAGCCCCTGTCATCTGCTGACTCTGGCGTCATTTTCCTAGGTATGGCCACCAGGACAGTCCACAGGTGAGAAGCATATGCTACAAGATTGTCTTTCATCCAAAAAATGACTTGTAGATCTTTTGCTCTAAGTCCAGCTAGGTGCTGGGTGATGCTGGGGACACTGGGTCACAAGACAGCCCTGATCCCCGTCCTCACAGGTTTTATAGTCCAGTGGAGATAGCATTAGCTCGGCTGGACACAGTGGGTCACACCTGTAATCCCAGCACTTTGGGAGGCCAAGGTAAGTGGATCACCTGAGGTCAGGAGTTTGAGACCAGCCTGGCCAACATGGTGAATCCCTATCTCTACTAAAAATACAAAAATTAGCTGGGCATAATGGTACACACCTGTAATCCCAGCTACTTGGGAGGTTGAGGCAAGAGAATCGCTTGAACCTGGGAAGCAGAGGCTGCAGTGAGCCAAGATCGCTCCACTGCACTCCAGCCTGGGCAACAGAGTGAGAGTCTGTCTCAAAAACAGAAAAAAAAAGAGAGATAGCATTAATTAGCTGGAGGTGGAGAGGTGGGGCATAGATATGTGGCAGCAAAGCTGATGAGGAGAGAAGGGACAGGTTTGGGAGAGATGCTGAGGCCAGTGTGGGACCTAGCAGGTGCAAGGGGCTCAGATGACATCTAAGGGGAGGCTTCCAGGAGGCCTTGGGACTTCGAGATGCAGGGCTCTGGGCGGAGATCAGGACTGGGACAAAGATGTGGGTGTCACCAGCACAGACAGGAAACAAGCTGGAAGAGTGGATGAGGCAATCCCAGGAGGAAGGAGGGAGCCAGTACCCTAAAGCTTCTGCATCAGACACAGAAACTGCTGAGCCAAAACCTCTGCCACCAGTTGAGGAGCCTGGTATCCCTCAAAAGACAGGCCAGGCTGAGCCCCGATCAGACTGTGCATCTGACCCTAAATCTGATCCTCCCAGGTCCGTCGGAAGTTAGAGCTGGAAGCTGCTGTGACTCGCCTTCGGGCAGAGATTCAGGAGCTCAACCAGAGCCTGGAGCTGATGGAGCGAGACACTGAGGCTCAGGGTAATCCAGGGGGCCAGAAGATGGGCAGCAGCAGAATGTGGGGCAGGGAAGGTGCTGATGGCTACCCTGTTCCTCCCACAGACACAGCCATGGAGCGGGCACTTCAGGACACACAAGACACCCAGCGTCGAGCTCTCCTCCTCCGGGCCCAAGCTGGGGCCACGCGAAGACAGCAGCATAGGCTCCGAGATCCCATGCAGCGGCTGCAGAATCAACTGAGGCGCCTGCAGGACATGGAGAGGTGGGCCTCAGGGACCCGCCTTCACCAGGCTGGGCCGCCAGACATTCTGTTAGAGACCCCAGGGCTCTGCCCTGATCCCTTCTTGGGTTCCAGAATTCTCAGCTCCCACCCTTAGGATGGAAGGTCCACGAGACCAGGAGGTTTTGTCATCTCAGTCACCTGTATTTCTAGTGCCTAGAATGATACCTCTTGTATACCTACAACACCAGCTCTAGGAAAACAGCCACAAACAGAACAAGTCCCTGCCCTCTTGGAGCTTATACTCTGATACAGAGAAGACAGACAGTAAACTAGGAACCAAACAGACCCTATCATTTCTGGTAGAGATGAGTGCTATGAAGAAAAGCCTATAATAGAAGGGAGAGGGAGATGCTGCCCTAGCAAGCGTGGTTAGGGAAGGCCTCTGAGGAGGTAACATTAAGTTGGGAGAGGAGTTTCTGTGGAGAGGGAATAGCAAGAGCAGAGGCAGTGCACTCAGCATGCAGGAAGAGCAGCCAGGGAGCCAAGTCAGCTCCAGTTTCTCAGGCGAGATAGAGAACCTGAGGAGGTGAGGGTGAAAGAGTGGACAGAGAACTGTATCTGGTGCATTGCGATTTTACCCTGATACTGGTTCATGCCCTGCCTTGGCCGCTTAAAATTGGATGGCCTTAAACCAGTCACAGTGCCTCACGCCTGTAAACCCAGCACTTTGTGAGGCCGAGGCAGGTGGATCAGTTGAGGCCAGGAGTTTAAGACAGGCCTAGCCAACATAGTGAAACCTGGTCTCTACTAAAAAATGCAAAAATTAGCCAGGTGTGGTGGCACGTGCCTGTAGTCCCAGCTACTCAGGAGGCTGAGGCAGAAGAATCACTTGAACTCAGGAGGCAGAGGCTGTAGTGAGCCAAGATCGTACCACTGCACTCCAGCCTTGGCAACAGAGTGAGACTCCATTTCAAAAAAAAAAAAAATTGGGCTGGGCTCGGTGGCTCACGCCTGTAATCCCAGCACTTTGGGAGGCCGAGGCGGGTGGATCACAAGGTCAAGGGATTGAGACCATTCTGGCCAACATGGTGAAACCCCATCTCTACTAAAAAATACAAAAATTAGCTGGGCATGGTGGTGCCCGCCTGTAGTTCCAGCTACTCCAGAGACTGAGACAGGAGAATTGCTTGAACCCAGGAGTTGGAGGTTGCAGTGAGCTGAGATCACACCACTGCACTCCAGCCTGGCACCTGGCTCTGTCTCAAAAATATATATATATTGAGTGCTCTTAGGCCGGGAGTGGTGGCTCACGCTTGTAATCTCAACACTTTGGGAGGCTGAGGCAGGTGGATCACCTAAGGTCAGGAATTCGAGACCAGCCTGCCCAACATGGTAAAAACCCATCTCTACTAAAAATACAAAAATTAGCTGGGCATGGTGGCAGGCACCTGTAATCCTAGCTATTCAGGAGGCTGAGGCAGGAGAATCACTTGGACCCAGGAACAGGAGGTTGCAATGAGCCGAGATTGCGCCACTGCACTCCGGCCTGGACGACAAGAGCAAAACTCTCTCAAAAAAAAAAAAAAAATCGGGTGACGTAGGGCAAGGTATTTAACTTCTATGTGCCTCAGAATCTAAGATCTGTGGAATGGGGATAATATTAATACCAAGCTTATAGGGTTGGCATGATCATTAGGTGGAATAAATCATGTAAAGTGCTTACAAAAGTGCCTATTAGCCATTGTTACTATTCTGGGGTTTTGGTTTTTTTTTTTGAGATGGAGTCTCGCTCTGTCCTCCAGGCTGGAGTGCAGTGGCGCGATCTCAGCTCACTGCAACCTCTGCCTCGAGTTCAAGTGATTCTCCTGCCTCAGCCTCCCAAGTAGCTGGGATTATGGACATGTGCCACCACATCTGGCTAATTTTTGTATTTATAGCAGAGATGGGGTTTCACCATGTTGGCCAGGCTGGTCTCGAACTCCTGACCTCAAGTGATTCGCCCACCTCGGCCTCCCAAAGTGCTGGGGTACAGGCATGAGCCACCACACTGGGCCCATTGTTATTCTGAATGTACTGGGGAAGCATCACATTATTTTGAAGGGATTTGAGCAGGGACATGCTCGTCCTTCGGTTTTAACAGAGTCATTGACTCCTGAGTGGAGAACAGACTCGGGGCAAGAGCAGTGAGGAGGCTAATGCAATAATCCAGCTGGGAGGTGACAGTGGCCTAATCTGGAGATGGCTCCCGAGATCTAGGCTTAGTGATTCTTCTGACTGGCCTTGCTGGCAGTGAGAGGAGATGGGGTACAGACATCTGTTCTCCCAGGGACCCTAGCCCCAGCTGCACTTCTCCCTCCAGGAAAGCCAAAGTAGATGTGACCTTTGGATCCCTGACGTCAGCAGCTCTGGGCCTGGAGCCTGTGGTCCTGGTAAGAGTCTCCCATCATGGGAGAAGGGGCAGGGAGCCTGGAGTCAGGCAGACGCCAGGGTCCCTCTCAGGTCCCTTTCTCTTCTTCTCCCTAGCGTGATGTCCGAGCAGCCTGCGCCCTCCGGGCCCAGTTCCTGCAGAACCTCCTGCTTCCCCAGGCCAAGAGGGGCAGCCTCCCGTGAGTGTCCCCAGCCCCAGAGATCCTGCAAAGAACCTGGGCTTTGAAAGTGGTGGTGTCTCTTGTTTATTAATTCCTCAGACACTGAGCTTCTGGGCTACATTCTATAGAAGGGGACTTGTAGGCTGGAAAGAGGAGACAGACTCATACTAACAGTGACAGCCAGGTCAGGGCTGTCGGGAGTTGGGGAGGCCTGAGAGGCTCTGAGCACCCAGAGGCAGTGCCCTCCCCAGCTTAGAAGGCAGGGAGGGGAGAGGTTCTCTGGTGAGGAGGTTTACCTGGGATGAAAGGTCCAGAGAGTGTCCCAGATGAACAGCCCATGTAAAGGCCCCAAGTTGGTATAATTGGGGAACTCAAGTGTTACAGGCATAGGCATGATGACAGCCCCTACTTTATAGGGTGGTGGTGATAACTAGAGGATAATTGATGTGTATTGTCACACTCTCTGTCCCCTTATCCAACCCCACAGAACCCCTCATGATGACCACTTTGGCACTTCCTACCAGCAGTGGCTGAGCTCTGTGGAGGTGAGAGCGGGGCTCTCAGGAAAGCCCACCCCCTCCAGCCCCATGATTGAAACTTAGGGTGCCAGGACCTAACTCTTGATGACAGCCCCATTCCCATGGAGTCTCAGCTCACAGCCCTGCCCCCATCCTGCCCTGACTTCACTCTCCCTGCCCCTAGATGCTGCTGACAAACCACCCCCCAGGCCACGTCCTGGCTGCTTTGGAACACCTGGCTGCAGAGCGGGAGGCAGAGATTCGGTCTCTGTGCAGCGGGGATGGGCTTGGCAATACAGAAATATCCAGGTGTGGGGAAGGGTGTTCCTAGAGTCGGGGAAGGCCCGGTGGGTGGGTGAGCTGGGACAGTGTCAGGACCTGGCCAGGCCACCTGCTCATGGTGGGACTGAAATGCATTGCCTGGTGGGATGGCAGGACTGATACTGGCCACCCTCGAGTACCGAGGCAAGGCCACAGCACGGCTCCCTTAGCAGCTCTGCCCCCACCCCAGGCCCCAGGCCCCGGACCAGTCAGACTCCAGCCAGACCCTGCCGTCCATGGTTCATCTCATCCAGGTAATCCCAGGCTCACCCCCTATTCTAAGATCCTCTCAATCCCCTCACCCATGGACCATGCCCACCCTGACTCTCTGTACCCGCCTTGCAGGAAGGCTGGCGGACTGTGGGTACACTGGTCTCCCAGCGGAGCGCCCTCCTGAAGGAGCATCAAGTCCTGACCCAGCGCCTACAGAGCCTGGTGGAAGAGGTAGAGAGATGTGCCCTAGGATCCAGCGAGAGGTGAGGGGCCCCAGGGACAAAGGCCTCTAGGCCGTCTCGCTTCTGGGTATCTCAGCCCATTGGGCTTTTTCAGCCCCTATGGCTCCTATCTCTGCCTTCTCTCCCTGGGGTTTCTCTCCCTGTTTATGGTCCCCTGTGTGACTCAGTCGCCCTCCTCTCCTTTGCTCTCCTCTGCTTGCCCTACAGGCAGGCGTGGATACTGGGGCTTCGGGGCTGTGGCCTGTGGGTGGAGCTCAAGGCCCTCCGTGCTCAGAGCCAGGAGCTGGAGGATGCAGCCGGGCATCGTCAGCTCCTGCTGAGGGAGCTACAGGCCAAACAGCAGCGGATTCTGCGCTGGCGCCAGCTGGTGGTGAGAGGCGGGGCCTGGGGAGAGGCGGCAGGGGCTTGTGGAGGGCCAGAGAGGAGGCTTCGAAACTGTGGCTAAGAACTGGGCCTGAGCCCACTGTGGTAGCGCATGCCTGTGGTTCCACACTTTGGGAGGCTGAGGTAGGAGAATCACCCAGGAGTTCAAGGCTGAAGTGAGGTAACAATCGTACCACTGCACTCCAGCCTGGGTGACAGTGAGATGCTGTCACTTGAAAAAAAAAAAAAAAGGCCAGGCACGGTGGCTCACCCCTGTAATCTCAGCACTTTGAGAGGCTGAGATGGGTGGATCACCTGAGGTCAGGAGTTCGAGAGCAGCCTGTCCTACATGGTGAAACCCTGTCTCTACTAAAAATACAAAAAAATCAGGCGTGGTGGCAGGCGCCTGGACCTGTAAACCCAGCTACTTGAGAGGCTGAGGCAGGAGAATCGCTTGAACCCAGGAGGCAGAAGTTGCAGTGAGCCGAGATCATGCCACTGCATACCAGCCTGGGCAACAAGAGCGAAACTCTGTCTCAAAAAAAAAAAAGAGAGAGAGCATACTGTCACTTTAAAAAAGAACTGGGCCTCCTAGGCAAGAGGAGCCCAGGTGAGACTCCCAGGCAGAAGCAGGACCTAAGTAGAGACTCACTGAGGCTGGGAGGTTGGAGGAGTAAGTCTTGGGGTATCCTGGTTCCTCAGGAGGAGACACAGGAACATATCCGCCTGCTCATCAAGGGAAACTCAGCCAGCAAGACCCGCCTGTGCCAGAGCCCAGGGGAGGTGAGACGGGAGTTAGGGTGAGGTCTTGGTAGGGCTGGATCTGCCAGGATGGGGCTGGGTGGACGCAGGCTGCCCCATCCATCTCTTCCCTTCCCCACAGGTGCTGGCTCTGGTTGAGCGAAAGGTGATCCCTGCATCTGAGGCAGTGGCACCACAGAGCCAGGAGCTGTTGCGCTGTCTGGAGGAGGAAGCCCGACATCTGCCCCATGTTCTGTTGGGCCCGCTGCTGCGGCACAGCCCTGGAGAGTGAGCCTGGGGCTGCCCCAGCCCTGCCCCACATCCCCTGCCATGGATGACTGTCACTCCCTGAACCTCCTTCAAAAAGATAACTCCAGACCCCCAGTGTTCCTAGGCTGCTAGACCTCACCCTCGGGTCACCAGCCCTGGTCTGGCACCCTAGTCCCCAGACCCACCTTGAAGTTCCTGGGCCCCCAGATCCTCCAGAGCCAAGGCCTCCTCTCAGTGCCCAGCCAACCCAGACTTCTCCCCACCCCTAGGTTGAAGCCCCTGCCCACGGTCCTACCGTCCATCCATCAGCTGCACCCCACATCCCCGAAGGGCTCCAGCCTCATAGTGCTGAGCCATACGCTGGGGCTGCCCCCAGGGAAGGTGAGTGCCGGTCTCCTGTGACTTGTCTCCCCAGCCCTGCCCAAGGTGACTCTTTCCCTCCTCCTCCAGGCCTCAGAGCTGCTCCTGCCGGCAGCTGCCTCTCTTCGCCAGGACCTTCTGTTCCTGCAGGACCAGCAGGGCCTCCGATGCTGGGATCTACTCCACATGAAGACCAACCTGCCACCAGGCCCTTCCACCCAGGGTAGGCCTGCCCTGCTGCCCCATCCAGCCTCCCCGCCCGTTCCCACTACCAGCAGCCTGCACGAGTCCTTACTAGCAACCCCGTTGCTTACACAGTGCCCACTGTGTGCTAAGGGCTTTAAACATCCTCCCTTGTTTCATCTGCACAGCACAGCAGTCCCATGAGGTAAGCACTGCTGTTTTCTCCATTTTATAGAGAAGGGAACCGAGACAGAGGTTAATAGGTTGCCCAAATGGCAAAGCTGGAATTTGAATCCATGTGGTCCGAAATGGGTCTGTACTCTCAACCACTAAGCTACACTGCCCATCAACTCTCCACATGTTCATTCATCACCATGACATAGTACACAGTTCAGAGCCTGGGAATCCGCTCCACCCTGTCTCTTCCTAGCTGTGTGGCCTCCCAGCACCTTAGTGCCCTCCTTAGTGGAGTAAGCATAATGACAGTGTCTTACCGAGGTGCTGGGCAGATCCAGGCAGGGGACTCACAGGGCCCTGAACACTGCCTGGCAGGTAGTAAGCACCCTGCATATCCAGTGGGATTAGCATCATTGTCTGTGTGCACACACAGTCTCTTGGAGTCATTATGATGAGGAAAGGGACTTTTTTTATTGAGACAGAGTCTTGCTCTTTCTCCAGGCTGGAGTGCAGTGGCCGCGATCTTGGCTCACTGCAACCTCCACCTCTCAGGTTCAAGTCATTCTCTTGCCTCAGCCTCCCAAGTAGTTGGGACCACAGGCATACAGCAGCATGCCTGGCTAATTTTGTATTTCTTGTAATCATGGGCATCTTGAACTTTACACATCTGTCATGGAACTCCTGGTTCTCTCCACTCCAGAAAACAATTTTGTTCTCCACTTCTTAGTGTTCTCCCTTCCTAAATGATCTCACCCTCACCAGGTTTACACCTGTAATCCCAGCAGTTTGGGAGGTGGAGGTGGGCAGATCACCTGAGGTCAGAAGTTCAAGACCAGCTTGACCAACATGGAGAAACCCCGTCTCTACTAAAAATACAAAATTAGCCAGGCATAATGGTGCATGCCTGTAATCCCAGCTACTCGGGAGGCTGAGGCAGGAGAATCACTTGGACCCGGGAGGTGTAGGTTGTGGTGAGCCAAGATTGTGCCACTGCTCTCCAGCCTGGGCAACAAGAGTGAAACTCTGTCTCAAAAAAAAAAAACAACTCACCCTCCTCATTCAAGTGCTTTACCAAGAAACCCAGGAGTCATCCTTAATTCTTCCTAGCTCCCTAACCCCACCACCACCAGCTTCAAGCCTTCAGCCAGCCCTAAGGGTCCCATCCCCAGAGTTCTCCCGTCGGCCCTACCCCACTAGCCTACAGCTCCAATAATTCTACCTGACAGCAGACAGAGCTGAAGAAAGAGCCAGTGTCATGATCAAGGTCACAGGGCAGGGATGGGATGGTGTCAGGATTCAGGCTCAGCAGCCATGATCACGCTGCTCATCTGCACTTGCTGAGCTGGGCCTGTTCTGCGCACATGGAGAGAGAGTAGGCCCAGTCCTAGTCCCAGAGGGAAAGCATCGCTAGAGTGAAGCTGGAGGAGGCGGAGGAGGAAGCCTTGGGGTGAGGAGTGGTAGAAGGGCCTCCAGGAGGAAAGATCTGTCTCCTGTCGGCCCTGCGGATAGGCCAGGCCTTGCCACATTACGAAACTCAAATACCTGCCAAAGAGCTTGGACTCTGCCTTGGGGCACTGAGGAGCCTTGGGAGGTTCTAGATAGGGGAGGGAGAGCATCAGATTTAGGCTTCAGGAAGGTCACTGGTGTAATGCGAAGGGTGATCCAGAGTGCAAGACCAAGGCCTGGAGCAGAGGAGAGGAAGAAATGCTCAGGAGATGAGCAGACAGGCTATGGAGATGGATGGGCTCTCAGGGAGGAAGGCATCCAGAAGAGGCCTAGGCCAGCTGAGTCGGGGAAACTGCCCTTGAGATGAGGACCTGGGAAGAGGGACAGGTGGTTTGCAAGACATGCCGAGGTCAAGACTCGGGGACTGGAGATTTGCGGACCCATTGCGGTAAGGTACCAGTGAGCCAGAGGACCCAAAACTGCCTTCCGGCTTTCTCACCCTCAGAGCTGCTGCAGATCCAGGCATCCCGGGAAAAGGAGCAGAAAGAGAACCTGGGGCAAGCTCTGAAGAGGCTGGAGAAGCTGCTGAAACAGGCGCTGGAGCGAATCCCTGAGCTGCAGGGGGTCGTGGGGGACTGGTGAGAGGGGAACGTGCTGCAGGTGGGAAACAGAAGTCAGGACTCGGGCCAGGGGGCTGGTGAGAAGGAGCAGGCCGTGGTTTTGCAGGGAGGCCAACAAGGGTCTGGAAGGCCAGGCCTCCCCTCTGATGCCGTGCCCTTTTCCAGGTGGGAGCAGCCAGGCCAGGCTGCCCTCTCTGAGGAGCTCTGCAAGGGCCTCTCCCTGCCCCAGTGGCGGCTGCGCTGGGTTCAGGCCCAGGGGGCCCTGCAGAAGCTGTGCAGCTGAAGAGAGGGTGCACAGAAGCCCAGAACTTCACGCTGTTCACCCCGACACCTCACCTCCTCCAGGACACCTGGAAGAAAGGATTCCTTGGCCGTCATCCCCACCAGCATCTGCAGTCCCCTCACTTGCTGTTCTGCGGCTCCTCTCAGCTCCCTGGCCCCTATCCTTTCATCCCACTAAAGCCAGGAGAATGGGGTACTCTGGACCCCATCCTGGGCACCCCTGAGATCCCTTCGTCACTTTCATTTTCAGCAAAAAGTAACTGAGCACCTCCTGTAGGCACTGGGGAGTCCACACTGAACAAAAGAGAAGGCCCTGCCTTCCAGGAGTTGAGTTCTAGGGGAGGGAGATGGAGTTTATGAGATAAGGAAAATATATTTGTGGTGTGCTGCAGGTTAACCGCTGTGTGGGAAAGCCAGCAGGAGGTGGGAGGTGTGATTTGAATCGAGGGCCACACTGCCCAGGTCACACACCAAGTGGTGAGCAGGAGCAATGGAGGTGGCCGAGGAAGGACTTGCTGCTGGCTCAGGGCACCAGCACGTGCAAAGGCCCTGAGCCAAAATGTGCTGGAATAAGGGCCATTGGCAGGGGGGCAGTAGAGGGTGGGAGGAGGAATGTATTAAAAGATGAAATTGCCTTCTAATTTGTATAGTTTCTTTTTTCATGTAAATCAGCCATTTGGAATTTATCCTAGCACATGGATCCAATTTCGTTTTATTTTACAGGGATCCTAGTAACACTTATTGAAATTCCCAGTCACAGCAGCAGTTGTCTCTGAGGGAAGGTGGGTGGCAGGGATCAACTGAGGAGGAGATGCAGAAATGTCTTAGGTGATGGGAATGTGCCGTATCGAGGGTGACGAAGGTGACACAGGTATGGAGAGTTGTCAGCACTCACCTAGCTGTAGACTTAAGGCCTGTGCATTTCACTGTGTGGGTTGCTCAATTTATAAAGCAAAGCCTCACTCACTGCTTTTGAGATGCCACCTTTCTATGCACTAAATTTCCATGTTTAATTGGGTTGTATCTGGGTTCTCTCCAGATCTGCTTGTATTTAACCCTCCATGTGCCATTACCACAGAAGTTTAATAGAAAGGCACACATTGTCATATGTGTGTTTTTGTTCTCTTTCGTTTTGTTTTGAGACGGAGTCTCACTCAGTTGCCCAGGCTCGAGTGCAGTGGCATGATCTCAGTTCATTGCAACCCCTGTCTCCCAGGTTCAAGTGATTCTCATGCCTTGGCCTCCCCAGTAGCTAGGAATACAGGTACACACCACCATGCCCCGCTAATTTTTGTATTTTTTGTAGAGTTGGGGCTTCACCATGTTGGCCAGGCTGCTCTCCAACTCTTGGCCTCAAGTGATCTGCCGCCTCTGTCTCCCAATTCTTCACCTGCTGGGATTACAGTTTCCCCTGTCTCAATAATTTTTTTTTCATAAATTAAGTGAACATTATATTTAATTTGCCTGGTCCCAGAAAAAAGACAAACACAGATAGTAGTTTTACTGGTGCTGCAGTTTTTTTCACATTTGGGAGTTTGTGAGCTTTATGATCTTGAACCTTGCTGTCCCTCTCCCACACAGCTCCTCTCTTGGCCTCCAGAGCCCCTTCTCCCTGCCAGCTTTCTTCCTGCCCCTGGCTGCTGTTTCCCAGCCTTTCCACACTGGCTTTCCCATGACTGTCCTTAGTGAGCCCACTCCTCCTCTCTCCTCATCACAGTTCCCAGTCCCCACCTTCCTACTGAACTCAGTAAAATCTTAAACTTCGTACAGTAGGCACATTGTGAGTAGTAACACCGGAATTATTATTTTGATAAAATAGACCATTTAAATTTTTGAGACTCTACCTTACAGTTTTTGAAATTACGTATTAAGCAAATAAGAAGTGATCTAATGTCATTGGGGACCAAGATATTTAGTGTAAATTAAAAAAAGATAACAAATATAAAATCAAAGAAGTAAATATCCTATAACCTTTCATTTGAATTGGAAATATCAGAATAAAGTCATGATTTCTCTCTTTCTGAAAAATACATATTTCAAGGCTGGCTGCAATGGCTCATGCCTATAATCCCAGCACTTTGGGAAGCTGAGGTGGGTGGATTACCTGAGGCTGGAAGTTCAAGATCAGTCTGGCCAACATGGAAAAACCCCGTCTCTACTAAAAATACAAAATTAGGCGGGCATGGTGGTGCATGGCTGTAATCCCAGCTACTCGGGAGGCTGAGACAGGAGAATTGATTGAAGCTTGGAGGCAGAGGTGGTGGTGAGCAAGATCTCTCCATTGCACTCCAGCCGGGGCAACAGACCAAGACTCCATTTCAAAGAAATAGACACACACACACACACACATATTCTCCTTGTTAAGACCATTAAAAAGGTCTGAAATATATAATGAATATAATGACACCTCAGTAACACTGAGAAGCACTAGCGTACAGACTGTGGGCTCTAAGTGCTATTTCTTTTTTTTTTTTTTTTTTGAGACGGAGTTTTGCACTTGTTACCCAGCCTGGAGTGCAATGGCGCGATCTCGGCTCACAGCAACTTCCGCCTCCTGGGTTCAGGCACTTCTCCTGCCTCAGCCTCCTGAGTAGCTGGGATTACAGGCACGCACCACCATGCCCAGCTAATTTTTTTGTATATTTTTTAGTAGAGACGGGGTTTCACCATATTGACCAGGATGGTCTTGATCTCTTGACCTTGTGATCCACCCGCCTCGGCCTCCCAAAGTGCTGGGATTACAGGCTTGAGCCACCGCGCCCGGCCCCTAAGTGCTATTTCTAAGAACCAGGAGCCCTTGTGAAAACAGCTGATTCCATGTCTGAGGCAAGAAATGTACAGAATGTGTACAGGATATTTTGTACCAGGAAGCAAAGAAGTCTTCCAAAACTACTGTGGACTCAGGAGCCAGTCTGAAGGGCTCTCACTGGCCAAAAGTGGGACATGGTGAGCAGCAAAAAATACCACAGTTAGGCTGGGTGCAGTGTCTCACACCTGTAATCCCAACTACTCAAGAGGCTGAGGCATGAGAATGCTTCAACCCAGGAGGCGGAGGTTGAAGTGAGCCAAGATCGCACCACTGCACTCCAGCCTAGGCAACAAGAGCAAAACTCTGTCTCAAAAAAAAAAAAGTACCACAGTGGTTTGAAGCACATCAAATATGTCTGAATGTATAAGTTCATGTTGATACTCATACACATATACCTCATTGAAGTCACCTTTGAAAAGTACTAGAAACCCACTCATTATTTTGAAAATTTTTTATATGTAAAATAAGGAAGGAATCAAGCATGTTCTCTATTTTTCTTTGCGTGTGTGTTGGGGTGTGTGTGTGTGTGTGTGAGAGAGAGAGAGAGAGAGAGACGGAGTTTTACTTGTTGCCCAGGCTAGAGTGCACAGGCACAATCTTGGCTCACTACAACCTCTGCCTACCAGGTTCAAGCGATTTCTCCTGCTTCAGCCTCCCAAGTAGCTGGGATTACAGGCATGTGCCACCATGCTCAGCTAATTTTGTATTTTTAGTAGAGACAGGATTTCTCCATGTTGGTCAGGCTGGTTTTGAACTCACAACCTCAGGTGATCTACCTGCCTCAGCCTCCCAAAGTGCTGAGATTACAGGTGTGAGCCAATGTGCCCTGCCCCTCTATTTTTCTTATATGTGAACAAGGAACCAAAAAATTTTTTTTATTTTTTTGAGATAGGGTCCACTGTTGCCCAAGCTGGAGTGCAGTGGTGAGATCTTGGCTCACTGCAACCTCCGCCTCCTGGGTTCAAGTGATTCTCCTGCTTCAGCCTCCCGAGTAGCTGGGATTACAGGTGCCTGGCACTATGCCTGCTAATTTTTATATTTTTAGCAGGGACGAGGTTTAGCCATGTTGGCCAGGCTGGTCTCAAACTCCTGACCTCAGGTGATTCCCACCTTGGACTCCCAAAGTGCTGGGATTACAGGGATGAGCCACCGTACTCAGCCAAAAGTAACCAAATTTCTAATGAAGAGGTTATTTACGAAAGAATCACAACTAATAACTTCAGAGAGAATAACAGAATTCAAAAACCACCATTTGCCATTGATTAAGTGATGGATACAGGTAATGATGATCAAGGGCTACTAAAACTATTGGGGGAAAGGTTGATTAGGCCTCTTCAAATGGATGGACCAGGATGACAGCACTGATCAATCCTGACACCAAAGGAAGGCAACCAGACATCTTGTGCTTCTGATGGGATTCCCCAGTAGGACACCATGGGATATGATGCCATACAATATTACCTATGAAGTGTGCTTTTACCAAATTAAATCTAAATCTCATCCAGCCTTAGCTCTCACTACAAGTATATGGGAAAGAGGCAAGAGGCAGTCAGAAACAAGCGAAAGAAAATTAAAGAATGTAATTAAATTTATAATATGGGTGGGACACCCTATAGGATAAATGATCCAGTTTCTTCCGTAAAGAGAAGGCAAAAGGGGGAATGGAGAAAGAAAGAGAGAGGGAGGGAGGGAGGGGAGGAAGGAAGGAAGGAAGGAGGCAGGCAGGTATTCATTTATACTGATTCAGACTGCAGTTTCAAGAAACCAAGGCAGCCAATAAAATTAAAGTTTTTCTTGTTAGTAAACATCTGAGCAAGCAAAAATTAAGTTTTGACAGGAAATAAAAGACAAATGCAATGTTTGGGCCTTGTTTTGATCCAGATTTTACTATTGTATGAAGACATTTTTGAGACAGGGAAAACCGAATAGTCTGGGTGTTAGATGATACTAAGAAATTAATTTGATTGTATTCATAATGGCATAGTTAAGGGTATTTTTAAAAAATAGTTCTGGTTGGCCAGGCGCAGTGGCTCACACCTGTAATCCCAGTACTTTGGGAGGCCAAGGTGGACAGATCACTTGAGGTCGGGAGTTTGAGACCAGCCTGGCCAACATGGCGAAACCCCATCTTTACTAAAAGTACAAAAATTGGGCCGGGCACGGTGATCACGCCTATAATCCTAGCACTTTGGGAGGCCGAGGCGGGTGGATCACGAGGTCAAGAGATCAAGACCATCCTGGTCAACGAGGTGAAACCCCATCTCTACTAAAAATACAAAAATTAGCTGGGCATAGTGGTGCGCGCCTGTAATCCCAGCTACTTGGGAGGCTGAGGCAGGAGAATTGCTTGAACCCAGAAGGCGGAGGTTGGGGTGAGCCGAGATCATGCCATTGCACTCCAGTCTGGGTATCAACAGTGAAACTCCGTCTCAAAACAAACAAAAAAAAGTCCAAAAATTAGCTGGCCGTGGTGGCACACACCTGTAATCCCAGCTACTCAGGAGGCTGAGGCAAGAGAATTGCTTGAACCCAGGAGGTGGAGGTTGCAGTGAGCTGAAATCACACCACTGCACTGCAGCCTGAGCGACAAGAGCAAGACTCCGTCTCTAAATAAATACATACAAAAATACATACATACATACATACATACAATAGCTGGGCATGGTGGCTAATGCCTGTAATCCCAGCACTTTGGGAAGCTGAGGCGGGCGGATCACCTGAGGTCTGAAGTTCAAAACCGGCCTGGCCAACATGGTGAAACCCCGTGTCCTCTAAAAACACAAAAATGAGCCAGGCGTGGTGACACCCTCCTATAATCCCAGCTGCTCGGGAGGCTGAGGCAAGAGTATAGCTTGAACCTGGAAGGTGCATGTTGCAATAAACCGAGACGGCACCACTCCACTGCAGCCTGGGCAACAGAGCGAGACTCTTATCTCAAAATTAATTAATTAAAATAAAAAATAAGAGAAGCATAGATCAGGTGAAATCCAGATGTGTCGAATATTGATAGCGTTTGAGAGGTACTTAAGAGTTTGTTATACTAGTCCCTCTAATGTGCATGTTTGAAAATATTCAGAATAAAACACTTTGAGGGCTACGGGGAAGAAAAAAAAAGAGGGGTCAGCTGTGTCCCAAGAAAGGACAGGGACCAAGCCCACGCACGTGCCCCTCTGCGTTGCACTAGTGTGGGCCTTGGCTCCCACCCTGAATATCTCGTCTCATCTTCAAATGTCTTCAGATGTCCTCCGCCAGGAAGCTCGGGTCAGGCGCTTCCTCCCGGGCATCTCTAGTCTTCATGGGAACCACAGGTCGAGTGTCAACCTACCCCAGGGTAGGAGCCCCCAGCCCTCAGCCCCAGACCCCAGCTAGGCCTCCCAGCCTTGCCCAACCCTGAGGTTGACGCGGACTTCAGCGTCTTTTAAAACTTCCAGCGCGGGCTTCGCGGTGGCACAGGAGGGGCCTCCGAACTTTCCTGCGTTCTCAAAGGTCCAGATTCCACATTGGGGACGGGACCAACTGACTTTGCTTTGCTCTCATTAGCCTGTGTTCCTCCAGGAAGGCGAGACCGCCTATCTTCACTGCGCTCTCATAGGCCCAGGTTCTTGCGTTTGTTTGTCATTCTCTCACTCTCATTGGCCTGGATTCCCCCTGAGGGTGTGGCCAGGTCTCATTGGCCCTCGCGCCCGGATTTATGACGTCATGTGTCAGCGCCCGTCGCTTTTGCTGGACGTCATCCTCGGTGAGCCCACCCTGACGAAGGAGGAGAGTAGACAGCAGAACCGGCGGCGGCGGCGGCGTCTAGGCTGAGACAGTAGTAGCGGCGACAGCGACGGCGGCAGCGATGGCTGGGGCGGGGCCAGCCCCGGGACTCCCGGGTGCAGGAGGACCCGTGGTCCCGGGCCCTGGCACTGGCATCCCGGGCAAGAGCGGCGAGGAACGCTTGAAGGAAATGGAGGCGGAGATGGCCCTGTAAGGCCCACGACAGGGAGAGATAAAAGTCGTCCCAGAGCCAGAGCCTCCGAATCCCGGAGCCTCCAGGCCTCGATTGGCCAGAGATGCGCTCTAACGTGGGGAAATGGGACCTTCGGGATTGTGGGGGTGGGGATAGGGGAGAGGTTGGCAGGGGTGACGGTCCCCGCGAAGTATACCCAGAGTTCCAAAATTGGTACGAGATCCTGAGCTCTGGTGTCTGTTCTATTCCTCCAGGTTTGAG